ATCCACAAGTCTGGAGTTGGTGGTCTTTGGCCACGATCAGAAATCAATAAATCCGCCAACAGTTTGCCTGGAGGGCGTTGAGGTGGGGCGTCTTCTTTGTTGCTGTGATATGGAAACGTCGACTGGCGACTCATGCGTCTTGCAATTCGCCTTGTGGGATCAGGATTGGCTCAAACTTAAACAACACAAAGAGGGTGAGAGTCGTTAGTGGACGTGCAACTTCGCTTCCCCAGAATGTGTCGCCGCATCTCCACCACCCCGGATTGCCACGAGTCAAACAGCTTGTGAATACCACCATGCCTATTGCTCCCAAGATTTCCAAGAATGGAACGCAGGTACAGCCTGCCGTAGAGCCAGACACCGTCTCTCAGGTCATAGGGTTGCAGCCGTGCCCTTTCGACACGTGGGAGTGGCGCTTGTTAGCAGCCAATCTGCAGAGTTGAGCTGGATGATCACGGCTCAATGACACCTCGGTCATCTGCTGTTTGCCGTGGGAAGCAAGCAGTGGGTCGATTCCTAGCTTCAGCTGCTTCTCCAATGACACACACGGTAGACAAATAGTTCGATTAGGCAATCTATCAATGTCTCCGTCTCCGTTGCCATGTTTAGATCCCGGCCGAAGCTAAGGCTGGTCCAGGTGAAACGCCAAAGCTGACCGTCTAAGCCTTTGCAATCAGAGCCAGAGTGGGAGGGTAGCCACGGCTTTCAGTACTTTGGAGTACCGACCCAAGCCGTGATGGCGAGAGATAGTGGTGATATTCGATAGTCATACTTGATAGTCATATTCCCAAGTTGCCCAATTACTGAGTGTTGATGCCATTGTCAAACTCAAATGGTTGGTGATTTCGGCTTCATTGCCGAGCTTGTCGTGGGGGGGAAAGCATGGAAAGCTTCCGCTGATTCGAATTTCGCAAACGGACCGCCATGAATACGAGAGATTGATCGGTGGCTTTAATGTGGCCGACTCTATGGAAGAACTCGGAGGCAGAGAGAAAAAGAGTAGGAGGAGAGAAAAGGAGTAGGAGGGGAAGGGGCGGAGAGAGAGAAAACGGAAGGAGAAGGAACGAGGACATGGAGGGAAATTGGAAGAAACTGCAGAGTGTAGCCTAGAAACCAGACAAGCAGTAACATCTTCTTCCCTTCAAACGGCTACGGGCTGATACCCTTCCATTCCGTGCAAGTTACAGCGTCTCAACGGCAGCATCCCATGGAAGCCCTATTATGCAGCCAGCCGCCTTCTTCTCCCATGGCGGGATGCTGACAGCCGTCACCCCCAAGTGACAGCTGCATCAGAGACGTGCAAAATTCACAGAGTGGGAGGTGCAGAAAGAAGATATGGATAACGGATAGCAGAGTGGGCAGCTGTTGTCCGTGCTGAGACAGCTGATCCTGATGATGCCTCCCATGAGCACGGTTTGTGTTTGCGTCTTCAACTGAAGCTTCAACTGGTTATGCAGGTTGACTTCCCGCTGCCAATCAACCAGTTCATAAACAGTCTGCAGCTGCTTGATTCACCTGCCATAACAAACGAAGACGCGGCATATCGAGAGCCTCAGCTGACAGCTTAACCTCGCGTTTCTGCAGCTGCTGCTCCCGTCGCCCGTCGCCAGCTGCATCTCCATCTTCCATCTCAGCTCTTACTGTCCACCTCCACTCTCAATTCAATTTCATATTTAGAGCACCTCCTCCCATTTTTGGATTTCTACACCTCTCTCTCCTGATTTCTGTTGTGACTGCCGAACGTGCTGAGATAGGCCCAACGACAACGACGGCGACATCATTCTCCCTGAAATCTTCCCCTGAGTCATGATGGAGACCCGAGAGGCCAACGACAAACTGGCCTCTACTGATGGCGACAGGAAAATGATGGAGGCGTACAATGTCACGAACGGGACCAGTGTCACTCCTCTCAGTCAACACGACACCGGTGTGTTTCCCGCCTCTGCGTATGAGCATCGCCCCGGACATTTCCACGACAGCGCATCCCTTGTCTATACCCAGCGTTCTCCGCTCATCAAAGAGTGCTATGAGGACCAATTTCCTTTGTAAGTAGCCAAACTTGACTGCCCGAGAGGCTGAGTACTAACTTCGTGGAGTGAGTTGGCTAGAGACGTCCACTACAATCCCTGGTCTCCCAATTCCACCTCGGCGCCTCCGTGGTGTGCTGCTTCAGAATCGTCTCCCAGTCTGCTCCTCAACAGCGAATACGGAGGCGCGCCACCATTCATGATGGGGTACGGCGCCGACAACATCAGCAGCGAATACGAAGCCCAGTTGCCCTGGCCAGAGTCGGCAGCCTTTCCCCCTCGAGCAGATGTGGCCAACTTCGATGACGATGGCGATCCGTTTGGAGTCACCTATTATACTCCTCGGGGTGCAGATGGCGCTCCAGACTCCATCTGCGATCCGAACATGACTCTTCATCCTCTCGCAGCCGGAAACCCAGCGTCGAATCGTTCAACTCAGCAACCAGCGTCTGAAGTGCCGCCCGGCGGCGTCTATTTTCGACCGTTTGGCAGACTAGATTCAGGACGAACAGCTTCGATAACGATGCCAGTCCGTGAAACGGGAGAGCCAATGCCGACATCCATGATTCCGCAACCACTCGACCAGTCTCTCAACCCACCATCTCCTCTCTCTGTCATTTCGCCTCCATCCTCTCTTCCATCGTCAGCCCGCAAACGCAACATCTCGGTAGCTGACCTCGAAAAGAGCCCCGTTGCCCCCAAGAAACGCGTCATCAAGCCCCAGCTGACGACAAAGGTTGACAACAGTGAAGACTTTGAAATTCACAAGGACAGCGAGTCGAAACCCACGGGCATTTACAAGGCCTATTTCCATAGCGTTGATGTAGCCAGGAAGAAACTACAGCGGCTTCTCGAGCTGTATCGGAAGCCCAGAGAAAGCTGTAGCTTTCCCTTCACTGATAATACGTTTCCCACCAACGATGATGACAAGATGATCTACATCAGGAACTTGTTTGACGCCATCAACGACTGGTCGCACTTCAGAGAGTGGCCGCAGGCGCTCAAGACGGAGGAGCGCAACCGAATCATGGACAGTATGCGTCGTAAACAGGCCGGAAGTGATGACGCAGGCACAGATATTTCGCTCGACGATATGCGGCCCAGCCAGGAGGAGCTCGAATCCATCCTTCCACCCCTCCAAGACCAGCAGAAGAAGATTTTGGGCCGCTTGCTCAGCGATCAGACAATCGAATGGCTTTGTTGGGAGCTCATTGTAAGTAGCTTTTGAACCGATTCACAAACGTCCCAGTCCCGTGAGGAACGGGAAGCACGCTGACTCTTTGTTTGCAAATTCCAGGAGGCTGCCGTCCAGTCCCAGCAGGGAATCACCCAGATACCGCACTGGTGCGGCGCCGACGGAGCTTAGGAGGCTTACGATTCGTTTGCGCAGCGCGTAGAGGCAATGTGTTATGCTCTGAGGGTGAGTCGTTTGTACCCAAGACCCCGTTTGCAAAGAACCATCTGGAAGAAAGTAACTGACAACTTTTATAGAAATCAAAACAACTCGTCAAATCTCTCCTCTCCGCAGGCGACGGCTGGAAGCTCCGTATCGCCAACAACCCCCAGGGAGAACTAGGCGTAAGTATCTTGACTCTACCCCCCTCCCCCCCCCCCTCCCCCATTCTTCTCTTCTGTCAGATCACAAGGCTAATGGATTAATGGGGGAATAGCACAAGGGCAACAACATGAAAGTAAATATGAACAAGAACCGTAAACTACGCCAAATCACCCAGGGCTCACGAACTGCCCCCCGCCAGAAACCCGCACAGAAACAGCCACAGAAATAATCGACCCCGACCCTCGATGAAAGCAGACTGTAAAATAACGTCATCGAGTTATTCATTCCCTTCATTCTACTCAGGGGTGGAAAGAGGAGGCTTGTTGGACATGGAACCTCTTTTTCACTCCCTCTTTCTCTCCATTTTTTCACTCTTCCCCTTTCACCTAATCACAATGGACATATAGACGAATACTACTGGATGGTATTGCTTTCATCCTATACATGCGGTCAGATATTATCCTTTTATTTACATTATCATATTTCTTTTCCTTTGTTCTGGACTGCCGGAGGTATCCAATTTTTTTTTTTTTTCAGTTTGCGATTTTCAGATTGGTTTTCAGGCTGCAATATTTCGGGGGCTCTTTTCCGGATAACCTCTCAGACTGTGTGTTTTTTATGGTTACAGGATGAGTTGGACCAGGAATACATACATAACTTTGGATAGATCTCTACAAGTTGGGACATGCGCGCCACTTCACAGAAGCCGTACCCTTCTAGACTTGTAACATCTGCATCTTCATCAATGGCAACGCGATTTCTTTTACTCAAAATGCATAGTTTACTTGCACATTTCATTTAGATGGCTTTCTTGTAGGAATTCTAGAGTAGATAAAATTCATTAACATTATTTTGATCTATTGGGGTATCCAAACGCTTTCAATACAACCTCATTACCAACACTGTCCTCCTTTTATAGATATGACCCTCCCCTTTACTTCTTCTTGGTAGTGAAGCTAGATCTCTCCCATCCGTCAATGGGATCCACGGTGATTTCTTCCACCAGCTCATAGTTGCCGATCCAGGGCATGACCTTAGTCCAAAGCAACCAGTAGACGGCGCCGAGGAAAAGGACGCCGAAGCCGACGACACAGTGGATCCAGTAAGGGAGGTGTTCATAGACATTCTGGCCGTCTTCGGGGGGCACAAATGGCGCAACGACGAGATAAATGTTGCTGAGCAGGAAGAAGATGATGACTGGGTAGGTAGCCTTGATCGGGGGGTTCCAGTTCCATTCGGCGCGGTTGCGGTAGAGGTGGATGAGGGCTCCGGCGACGAAGACGTTGATGATGGCGAGGGGATAGGAGATGAGGCTGTTGAAACACAAGGTTAGTATACGTTTGTTTTATTTTCAGTGTGTAGACGTGGTATTGTACTTACTTGAGAACAAAGTTGTAAGCATCACCTGCAGGGGGTGCGAGGATGGTGATCATGGTGATGAGCCAGTGCTCAAACAGACCAGCCAGGGGAGCGTTGAAAGGACGGTTGCTAGCCCACAAGCGAGAAAAGGGCAAGACACCCTCTCTGCCAAGCTCCTGGACGAGACGGCCCTGAGAGAAGATGACACTCAAGACGTTGCCAAAGGCAGACAGAGCCACAAAGACGGAGAGAGCTCTCTCGGCGCGCTCGCCAAACATGTTACGGAAGAGGGAGGCAGCAACGAGTCTCTTAGCCTCAAGAATCTCAGCCTTAGACACACCAGCAAAGTAGGAAACGTTGGCCAGCATGTACAGAATAGTGACACTGCCAACAGCCAAGGGAGCAGCGACCTTGAGGGTGCGGGCCGGGTTCTTGGTCTCGCTGAGGGCGTAGTTTGCGTTGCTGTAGCCAATGAAACTCCAAATGATGTTGTACAGAGAGGTGACTACGCCGTAGGCACTTCCAGTTGTACCCTCGAAGGCGTTGTGGAGGCAGTTGATCTCCTTGACCTTCTTGATATTGGCCAGCGGAGCGATGATGACGATGATGACGATGCAAATCTTGATAACACCGAGGACGTTCTGGAGACGAATACCCCATTTCAGGGCCGTGCCGTGGATCAAAAACGCCGTCGTGATACAGGCCACGGCAATTCCTCGCTGGTTCCAATCCGTAACCTCGACTCTGGCGGCGTTGAGGATGTATTCTCCAAAGACGACCGAGTTACCGGCTGCCCAACCCAGGAGGATGACATAGGTGGTGTACATGCCCGTGACGAGGAAGCGAGGCTTGCGGTAGACGTATTCTAGATAGTTCTTCTCACCACCGTTCTTGGGGAGACCGGTGCCGAATTCCATGTAAACGGCCGTGCCGGCCCATGCGATGATACTGCCGGCGACCCACAAGAATAGGGAGAGACCGGTGCTGCCAGATAAGGCGAGGATGGAGCCGGGAGTGGCGAAGATACCGGTACCGATGATACGGTTGAAGATGAGCATGGAGGCTGAGGGGATGCCGATTTGACGTTTGGCCTCACGAGCCTGTTCGAACTGAGCTGAAGAAGGAGAAGAAGCGTCAGTACGTGTTATTGCTCATTTTTGTGTATTTGATAAGGATTGGACATACTCTCAGTTCCATTTTGCACTGAGGCAGCGTCGCTGCCAGCCTGTCCGGTCAACTTTGTGACATCGTCGCTCTTGGGCGAGAAGAAGCCCTTGATTCCCGACATGGTTTCTGCTAGTTCACACAACACAGCAAAATGCCGTCAGAGAAACAACGAAACAGACAAAGCCCAGTCTCTCAGGTATACCCAAAGACTAAAGCAAATGTATAAAACAAAGCCCTATATAACAAAAGGCCAAAAGCAGTAATGAATCATAAAAAAGGGCAGGAGAAGAAGACGAAGGGATCCGTTCTTATTATAGACTTATACGAAGAGACAAACCAGACACACACAATGGTGGATCGAGTCACACACACAACCCGGGAAAGGCAAAAACTGGATCAAGAGGCTAGAAAGACACCAGAACGAAACAGCTGCTAACTAGAGAAGCACGAGTAACATGAAGGAAGAAAAGCTTGTTCTTGGGCGGGGCAGGCCCGCATGGTGCCATCGGGTGCTAAACGTACGCAAAGGAGCTTCAAGGGCCCCCCCTTTTTGGGTAGCATCGAGAGTGTGTGTGATATTGGGGATGGCGGCGAATGGACTTGGCGATGATGATTTTGCCTAGGCTTGGTAAAGAGGCGCAGGCCGTGTCACGCCAAGAGAGAGGATATTGAATTCGAGGCTTTTTGGGGACAAGGATTTTCAGTCTCTGTAGGGATTCCGTTTACAGGTATTTCTTGGAGTTTTCTTTGTGTGCAAATAAGCTGATGTCCCAAAGAGCGGGCCATGAGTCGTGAACCTGAGTACCTAGTAATATGGAGCAGACTTACTTACTCGTTTGCTCCTCTATAGTACGATACGTGTAGTAGTCAGGTACAAATCAATAGGCAACAAGATACTGTATGCTAGCTAACATCAAAAGACAGCATCGTGTAAGTCGAAAGAAAGAAACTCAACATGAGACACAATGGTGCCATCCAACAACACATCACCCAACGAAACCAGAAGCCGATGCTATCCATGACCCCTTCACATGCCAATACAGGAAACAACAGCTAAAACCAAAAATAAGCCCTGGAATCCTTCTCGAAAAAGACAAAAAAGGCGGCCTCTAACAGCCAAAAGAAAAAAAAAAGGTGAAGAAAAAAAAGAAGAGACCCGCCACCGAGCACGACATCGGAGCCTTTCCCGATTCTGTCGCGCCCGGACCCGGCGTGGGCCGATGACGCGATCGGAGCTTCTTCCAATCACGTCTGCCGGCGCTGCAAATTTGGCCGCCTGATTGCTTCATAGCAGTGCCGGGGATGGGCTTCTAGGCTTCTGAACAGGTTATTTACAGGTAATAGTTCGCGCCCTTCTGGCGGACAAGGGGGAGGACAAACCCGCCGCTACGGAGGAATATCGTTATGTGGCGCTGAAGAAGAAGCTTAAGAGAAAATCATAGTGAAAAAGAAGAAAGGCTAGAAGCACAAGAGAAGCTCGCCTCTTCCGGTCCCCCCTGGCTCTCGCTCAGGAGAAAGAGAGAGACCAGTCCGGCAGAGCTGAACTACCCGCAGCTTGCGGCAAAAGCACACGCCGCGCCAACCTCAGCACCTCATTGGCGAGGCTGGTCCCAAATGGAAAAAGAAGGGCCGCGGTGCGGAATATGGGTACTGAAAGGTGGAAAGGTGGATGGGATGCGTCTAGCCTCTTGCTTAGGGCTTAGTTTGGCAGTCCGTGATGGGTTTCCTTTACGTGATGGATATCGCTGTCAATATAACGAGTACGAAAAGTGCTTGTCTTGTCAAACTAATGAACCACGGGGGGGCCGCGCACCGCCCATGGGGATCATGGGGATGGTTCAGTCATGACGCCCTTTGCAAGCGAGGAGGATAATGCCTCGTTCTTGTTCTACGGTGGCATGACTCGAGGGTCTAGCGGGCGAGAAAGCTTGGCCCAGCTAGCTAGCTGTTTGGGCTGGAGTTGAGTGATTCACTTTTGGAGAGGCTTGATGATATGAAGCCCGATTGCCAAGCTCTAGACCCATTGCCTCATGGAGAGGCTTGCTTGCGTTTTGTTAGATCTAACGATAGCTGAAAGGAAATGAGCAGGTTATCGAGAGATTGACTCGAGACCATGTGGCATATGGATTACGCCGCATGTGTCAGGGCCATATCATCCTAGTCCATCACATGGATGGATGGCTGCTTTCGCCAGCAACAAGGTTTGAAGATGCTCGGGAAGTGATTAGCCAACGAGATGCAAAACATGTACCTGCATATCGTTTTTGATGGCGTTATGAGGCGTCATGTACTCTTCCAGATAGCTAAACCGATTTACAATCATGGCTCACTATGTATGTACCTCCAGCAGTTTGGCGAGTTCAAACTCGATATGAGTTGGAAAATTTTTCATTTCCCAGCATGTAGTGGCGATTTCGGGAGTATTCGCCATTGTTCGGGTTCAAAGGTGCCGGGGCAAGCAGGGGTATACAAAATCATGGACGTTGTATCGAGACGGCAAGATGATCACATTCCCAGTCCGTGGCTTGATCTTGACGACATCAGATGTTATCACTGACTTCTGGCGGCGGACGATGGGCCCCTGGGATGCCATGATCGGTCCGCCACCGGAAGTTGAGCGTTATGAAATGGAGTTTTTGTTTCATCGCGATCCAAATTAGGCAGGAAAGCTTACCTACGCTCTGTTGGCCAATAGCTCTTCTCGGATAATGGGAAGGATTTGCTCCAGAAGTTAACTTTAAATGTTACATGTAGATCTTCTTATAACGTGGCATATTGCAGGCAATCCTACCTTACATATGCATACACCTAACACTTAATCTATCTACCTTAGTACCCACTTCTCGATATAGCAGGAACTTCGTCCTCTTCAATATGCTTATCAAAGAATTCTGCAGAGAACCTGCATTTCCAGGAGCTTCCCATGATGCTAAGAGGGACTGTCCAGCCTCACAATAAAGTGTAGAAGAAACCCTTTCTTATCTTTTCTGTACCTTGAATAGACCCGTTCCGCGCAGCTGTAACTTTACAAATTCTCCCTTTCGAGCTACGATAATTCATTCCCCTTTCTCCACTGCGTGACATCTCCTCTGCAGATGTTGGTTTGTCTTACTTCTGCCAACATGCTTATATCATAAGGCCAGACGGGCATGAGTGGGCACAAAATCACTTAAACCTACCTACTACTACGCAGTATTTTCTCTACCATTCAATCAAGGCAGGTGGCATCTGCTATGATCAGTCACGATTAAATCGGAGACACGGAACACGAGATAGCCAACCTAGGATGCGGGCTGCAATTCAAAACTTGGGCAAATAATATTATATATATGCTGTGTACTACCGTACAGGCGAGGATTAATCATTACCAAGGTACCCAAGAGCCCTTCTAAAATCCATTTTCATCATCATAAAGAATGTCATTGATCATCAAAAGACCGTCATAACCGCAATAAGAACAAACACTCTTCGCAGCAACTCGCGCAGTCCAGTGTCCAAGGGCATCAACCCCTAATTATTCGCGTTAATACGTCCCTCTTATTACACGTAACGAACGCCGTGACGAACAGGCTTGAACTTCTTCTGCACAGGAAGTAGTATGGTACTGTTTCTGTACTACAGGACAGCACTCATCTCTTCGATAGGCGCAGGAAGCGTCACTTTGCCACAGGTGACTGTGCGAGTGGAGTAAATCTGGCCGGCCGTCCAGTTCGGGTTCTGCCATGTCGTGTCATCGCAGGTGAGATTGAGGTTGACGCCTCCTATGGCCGTGAACCGGCTGCCTTCGTCGGCACAGCTCCATGTCTGGTTGATCTGCAGCTGACCACTGGGACGGGAATAGGTAAAGGTTGCCTTGCCGGCTGCGGAGGGGACAGTGCACTCGTATACGAATGTGCCATAGAAAAAGTCAGACAGCTGGTTGGATGCCGCACTGCAGACTGGCACGTAGTCGACGGCCGGGTTGGTCAAGGTGAAGTTGACATAGCCCCAGGAGTTTTGGTGGGCAGGCGTTGTGAAGGTGTATGAACTGTGGAAGTCAAAGTCGCCAACGGTCCATGCTGTGAGGTTCGTCGACTTGTCTGTGCATCCTGGTGCTGTGGGAGGCACTGGGTAAGGATAGTTGGCGTTGGCTCGAGGGACAGAGGGCAGAGCTAGAGCTGAGCTGGAGAGGAGAAGGGCACATGTAGAGAAGAGGCCCAGCATGGTGACGGCGGGATTGTGTGATAGTGGTTTGCGGTGAGGTTGATGGAAGATTTGCTATCGGGGCAGCACAATGACGAGTTTGTGTTGTAGTTGTAGGAGCTGCAAGATTGTCGGCTGATGCTGATGCTCTTGTGATGTCTGATATCCTTCCCTTCAAATCGGGGATCATCGCTTCCTCTTATACAATATCCTCGTAGTCAGAGTAACGGTAAGCTCCGATCACGTCCGGCAGGTTCAAGTACAACGAGTGACGCACAAGAGGCTGGAGAGTGAACACGGGCCCAGCCATTCTTCATGACGTAGCACGAATCTCGTATCCCGTCGTTTGCGGAGAAAAAAAAAGGAATCGGCGTGGCGGATCGAGACCTTTGTTTGGATGCCGTGGCAAGTCGGTGTCAGGTCATGACGTCGGGTATCCTGTACGAGACTTAGAGTGTTGCTCTGGTCTATGAAGGAGGTACTCTATACATGACCTAGTGCGAAAACCAAGAACACCGGACCACAAGATGTTTAGTCTTGCCGGCAGCTGCATCTGTAAGGGGGCAGTGAAGGGTCGTCGACAGAAGGGCCCTTAGTACTAATTGGGGGCTCTGCACTGTGCCTTAGCGGCCTGTAGCGGTAGCCGCATGCCCATTTAGCGGCTGGCGGACGCTAAAGAGCGAGGTGGGCTCTCTTAGCTGCAGTGATCGACAGCCCACAACCTCGTATTTTGTGCTTGCATGAATGTAACTTGAACGGTATCGAGCAGGTAGCATCGCCCTTTTTTATGCTTCTTCTCCTCTTCTTTTTTTTTTCTTGCTATATCAGCTGAGAAAGAAACATCAGACCCCGGTTGTCAGCTACTTAGCTGGTATTCGTAGATGCGGTGAGCGGTTTTAATTCTTCCGTCTCAGCAGTTGTGTAAAAGAGTCCATGTACAACAACATCGAGATCATGTGAAGCATTGAACTTGCAACGTGCCCATTAATCAACCTGAATGTCTAGGTACCACATGTACTCGTACCTTCCTACGCCTTTTTGACATCGTACCAATCTGGTCTGGTCCCATGCTATATCAACAAAGGGAATTTTTGCTAGACAACTCAATTTACATTGACTCAGATCCTTCAACTTCTCTTCTTCCCTCCCTGTATCACAGCACCCTCGGCACCTCGCAACACCCACACGATGATTAAAAATAACCTCAGTGCCCTTGCCAGCGTGGCAAAATATATTATTCAGAGTCACAAAGCTGTTGCTCAGTTATCCCTGCCAAGGACAGATGCCACGTCGTGATAGAACGTTGGGCTCCAGCAGCTGATCCTGGTCCGGGCCCATCCAGCTCTCCCTAATGCCAATGGGCTATGCAAGTATACCAGATTCCGAGGACCGAATCTTTATGCTTACTACTAGTCGTGGTAGCATCACACAAAAGCTACAAGCACAGCTCTGGTTGGGCTTTGGAAGGGAGCAACGACGGATCCCACTGTGCCCTTGCATCGCCACGTTCAAGGGTGGAAACTCTGCAGAGTAACGAGCACAAAGTCCAATGGATGATTTTGTTCCGGCCGACAACAACCAGAAAACTACCGAGCATGCGAGCTCTCGTCTAGTCAATGGAGTGGCGCGGGCCTCGTTCGACTTTGACCCAGCGTCGTACATCAGCTCACACAGAGTAACACTGTCGTATCTTGCATCTCTCCAATTCGACAAACATCCAGTAGCCATTACCTGAAAAGCGTCATCAATACCGTCCAGTCTCCATCTCACCGGCGTCTTCGGACCTCGGATACGTCATGCATCGGGACTAGCAATGGCAAACTCCATTGAGACGGCGAAGCCTTGTGAAAACTGTTGCAAACATGTGATAGTTAACGCGAGAGCCAATGAACAATTCATACCCCTCTTCGATATTCACATAACAAACCGAATTGAGGCAGCCTTGCACAACAACAGTATTCATCTTTGCCCCCGTCGTCCATTACAACCATCTCGGTAGGACATGCGGATCTTACTATCGTGCGATCTGCCGGCCAACTGTCTGTACCCAGGACCCCGTTCCACGGTAACCTTGAATCATAGCCGCAATCTCAACTCTTGGGTTTTTCTGAGAGTCGGGCCCTTCCTTTTTCCATGTCGTGCTTCCAAAATAAGAGGCCGAACGTGGCTGGTGTTGTACGACATCCAACCAGTCTACTCACCGCTCTTACTGTGCAATTCTCCAAATAGATTCAACAGCGGCCAATTCTTGGGGCAAAGAACACAGCCTCCAAAAGCTGTGTAATTGTGTATCGCGAGGCCTTGCCACCAGCGTTGAGCCTCGGAACTCTTCTTCGTTCGACTCACTCGATCCCCAGATGAAGGAAGCTGTGTGGACATGCTGATTCTACGATTGAGCGTTCGAATGAAAAGGTTGCCCAAATCTTGTCGTGAGAGAACAGGCAGTGAAATTGCAAAAACATCAATCACCCATGTACTCGTAAATAGCCAGCCAGGAACCAGGAACCAATTGTCCTTTCAATGAGAAATAGCAAAGGCACTATGTCGGTGTGGGCGTTTAGATTCGTTCTAATGTTCTATAGCCGCCAGCGACGTCATGATTGGCACGCATGAGACGTAAATACTGGGTCTGGCAGCCATCTTTGAGGCAATGATGTGCCGTACAAAACGCAGTGTTGACGATCAAAAATGGGCAGAATTGCAAATTCCCCTTAACACGACGCGCGGCGACCCGAAAAACTGGTGATAAACCCTCACTTACATGAACTGGCGGAGCTGAATTGGTAGATGATGGCGGGGGCCCAGCTACGTGTACACATGTGTCTATAACTTACTTATACACTCTGAGATAGCAGCGCAAAGTTGCAATTAGCAACAACTTCATTGACGGCAGGTTATTGGATTAGCAGCAGAAATGCAATGTCAACCTCAGTATCACGACTCGCCAGAGTATCCTCGTCCGGATTTCCAGCGCACCGGGTCACGCTGGCTGTCACTCAACGGCCCTTGGGATTTTCTCTTTGATGATGACGACGTCGGCTTAAGCCTGCGATGGCAACAGTCCGGTTTGCCTACTCAAATTGCCGTCAAGAAGACATTAAAGAAGAGCGAGGCTGGAAACCAGTCTGAGAGCGACACCATCACTCAGCGCATTGCGGCCGGGACACAAAATCTACTCAAAGACAACCTCTTTACACGGGACTCTTCGGGGAAAACCAACCACAAGCGTCCAATTACTGTCCCTTTCGTTTTCCAGTGTCCTGCGTCGGGCATTAATGAGCGCGGCATCCACGAGGTGCTCTGGTATGAGAGGACAATCTCAGACTTGCGGGACAAAACCGAACGGCAAGAGGGCCGCCGTCTTCTGCTTAGATTTGGCGCCGTGGACTATGAGGCCTCTGTTTGGGTCGATGGAAGTTTTGTCGGTAGCCACCAGGGAGGCCACGTCCCGTTCCAACTTGACATCACGGATGCCATCGAGGCAAATACTAGTGGCCATCATCGACTGACAGTGCGTGTCTTTGATTCAGCTTATGATTTGACTCAGCCGCGAGGGAAGCAATATTGGGGTGCTCAGCCGGAGAGCATCTTCTATACCCCTTCTGGTGGAATTTGGCAACCCGTATGGCTAGAGGCTGTGCCTGCAGCACGAATCGCGGATAGTAGCTATGGAACTGTAATCCGATCGAATGATATCCATGCTGGGGATATTCATTTCGACATTGCAACACAAGGTTTGCAGGCAGGCCGTGGATATGTCGTCGAAGCAGAGGTCAATTTCGGGGGCCAACTCGTCTCCAAATCCCCCAAAATTGACGTTAAAGAAGGATCGGGTAGGTTCAGCTTGAGCGCCCGTCTCTCAAAGGAGAGTGTTTCTGCCCTTCCCGAGTCAACACTGAAGGATGCACCATTGAGCGACGTTTCTTGCTGGCGAGACGGCGTTGCACTCTGGTCGCCAGAGCATCCTCAGCTGTACGATCTAACAATTAGATTGTTTGATTCATTTTCCGGCAGGGAGGTGGACGAAATCAAAACAACAACGGGAATGCGCTCGATCCAATGGTCCAACGGCGACGGTCTGTGGAGACTGAATGATGCTCCTTACTTTCAGATGCTGAACCTGGATCAAGGCTACTGGCCAAACTCGTTCCTAACTCCAGAGTTTTCCTACAGCTTGGAGGTGGATATTGATTGTGCAAAGAAGATGGGCTTCAACGGCTGTCGGAAGCATCAAAAGGTTGAAGATCCCCGGTTCTACTATTGGGCAGATAAAAAGGGTTACTTGGTCTGGGCTGAAATGGCCAACGCCTACCAGTTCAGCCGAGAATACGTCGACCGTTTCAATCAGGAGTGGACTGAATCGGTCAAACTGGCGATTAACCATCCCTCGGTGGTGACGTGGACACCAGTTAATGAGAGCTGGGCATATACATCACTCAAGGATAACGCCGAGCAGCGCAATCACATACGCTCTCTCTATTACTTGACCAAGTTAGTATTCTCACCTTACTCCCCTTTAACTAATAATACAGCGAGGCTCATGAATACTGACAAAATTCTAAGGACGTTGGATCCCACTCGGAGCATCAACGACAACTGCGGCTGGGAACACGTTTGTACCGACCTCTCCACCTTTCATGATTACAGCGACGGTCCAGAACTAGAAAAGACTTGCGCGGATTTAGATGCCATTCTCGGCCCCAAAGCTGGACGAGACCTCTTCGTCGGCGAAATTCCCAACGTCGACAAGGGCACTCACCACACCCCTGGAGCTCCCATCATATGCTCAGAGTGCGGCGGCATCAACATTGCACTGGCCAAGAAAGACGACAGCGAGGAGTCCCGGGATTGGGGCTATACCACTGCGGCAGATCCCGAAGATCTCTTGAAGAGGGTCGAGAGGGTGGTTAAAGGTGTTGCGGGTGGAGGGTATTGCTGCGGGTTTGTATACACACAGCTGTAAGTTTGAGTACCATATGATGTTGAGTTCTTGAACTTTGGCTAATGTCAGTAGGACGGATATTGAGCAAGAGACGAATGGGTTGTATACATTTGATCGGCGGGAAAAACTGGATCCGGCAAAAGTCAAGGCAGTTATGGCAGAGGCGGCGCAGATGTTTTATAAAAGGGTCAAAATGTAGTGGGGATTGAGCATTACCATGAAGTACCGTTATACACGGCCAGAATAGCATGTACAGATGTGATCCACCAGACCTTGTCTCTCGATGGAAATGAATAGCAGTTTTTTGATCTGGTATACAGAAGCTCTAAAAAAAATTCTCGTCGCATCTATTATAATTACCTTCCAGTGAAGTCTCTCAATTATTTCCTCATCTTCATTCCTTTCCGGGTAGGCCAATACCATTGCGAATCCCAGAGTGGATTAGAGTTTAGCCCCCAGTCCATGCACAGCCTTATAATGACTAATGAGTGCAACTAATTTCCAACGGGGGATATGGTGTAGGGGTATCACGTTTGCTTTGCATTGTTCATTCAATACAAGCCTGTAAAAGGTCGGGGGTTCAAATCCCTCTGTCTCCACGTGTTTCTTCTTTTTTTTTTTGCGATTTTTCACAGCGATGCCAATTAGTACTGTTGAGTATGCGCTGTCTATTTTTTCTTTTTCATCTGCTTTCTTTTTCCTCTTTTTTTTTCATTCAGTTTCCGTCACTCATATCCCCCGACATTGTGCATTTGTCGTGTGAGGGGTAGCGAGCGGTTTGCGTGAAACACACCTCCTTGGCAGGCTGGTCATCACCGTATATTCACTTTATTTGTGCTCTCTGTATTTTGTTATTTCTATTCAGCTACAATTTGTGCCTTTTCTACTCCAAGCTTATCTATATGATCTATTCTAGATATAGCGTCTACTATGTGATGTCTGTCTTGATGTCTGTATTCCATCTCCCTCTTCCTTGGTTGTTCATAAGCATCCGGTGCTGGCCGTTTATAAGTATACTCACTCTGTATGGTATCACTAGTCGCTTTTTCAGTTTCTGTAGCCTCAGCGGTCATTTTTGCCTCTCTTGCCAATCTTTCCTTTAATAATTCAGACTTTTCTACTATCATGTCAACGCACTCTGCACTCGTTGGCCGGCTTCTCCTCTGCGATGCCATCTCGGAACCTGGAAACCGAAAGGCGGCAATCAGGAAATCGCAGAGTGGCTCTTATCAGGAATAAGCATGTGAATGTCAATATGGGCATTGTCTGGATGGACTTACCGCCTAAACTGGGATAGTAATCGGTAACCTTGCCAACTGCTTTCTCGTATCGAGCATGGAACTTCTCTCGTACTTCAACGACGTCGCGATCTTTTCTCCATGGATTGCCTTCTGTGCCGTAAGACCATGGAAACGTACCAAAGATTGCTCTAAAGAGGCTGACGCCCAAAGCCCAGACATCTGTTCTGCCGTCGTACTCTGACATTTCATGCTCTGGGGAATGAAACCCAACTGTCCCATTCGATCCGGGTGCTGCCTTAATCGCAGTTTGGCCACTGGGAATCTGCTCCATGGAGTCAATATCAAGGATAACGGTACGTGGAGGGCGCGAATAAGATGATAGCTGGGCCGGCTTATGCATTTCGTTTTTGTGAAAGTCTAAGAGCCCGATGTTTTCTGGTTTGATGTCTGTATGTACTATGCCATGCGTGTGTAAGAAGGCAAGTCCTCGAAGACAGTCGTGTAAGATGAGCTCATATTTTGTACAGCTATCAGAACCGGATAAGTACTGGAGTAGCAAGAAAACGAACAGGTTTGCAACTTACTGTGTATCTTTGGGTATTTCAGACAATGTAAACCCGACGTAAGGCTCTAAAACAATATGGAATTCATCCACTTGCCGTCCTTGTATGTGAATGCTCTCAATCATTGTTAAAACATTTTGTTGCTTTTCGGCTTGTGCTCGCTGCGCAATGAAATCCATCAATGCAATTTTTTCTCGAGTATATTGTATTCTGGTTGGCCTAGCCTCCATCGTCTTAACCGCCACAATCTTTTGCCCATCCGGACCAACAGCTGGACGTACGCGGCCAAAGGTACCTCGACCCGTCAAACCGCCTGTGATTGTATATTTCCCTATGGTTTGTACATTCGTTGTTTGAGGAGTCGGAGTAGCTTGCAGGACTTCTTTGGTTGGCTGGTTATCACCATGAATACCTGTAATGTGGCTACTGAGATCTGTTTGACCTTGGGGTCGGAGGCAATATGAAGTATACTCGAGTGAGTACATTAAATCACCAAAATGAATTCGATTTTGACCCAGGGCGCAGCCCGCAACGTTGCCCTTGGAAGTCAAAGAAGTTGCATTAACAACAGCAGAGTTGCCGAATTCCAACGAAACGGTCGCTAGACGTGTTTCTGGAGAGAAGTTGATGACAGCATGTCTTCTAGCGACGTTACCAGCTCGGCTATCCGTGAGTAATATGTCGACGGTAGGCTGAGCAAAGGAAACACCCCTTTTGCTGAGACGGCCAACCAGCCAGCCGCAGTCGGAATGAAGCGTTTTGATATTTGAGTCTAGAAAATAGAAGCCTGTCCAGATCATTGTGGGACATGGCTCTTCAAGACTACATGTAGATGACGATAACGAAGACGGTGACGAGGGACTGTCAACTATTGTGCTGTGATTGACAAACCGGGAGACGGCAGAATCATAGACTTGTTCATCAGAAAACCACATGAACTTGGCATAGTGGCCCCGGACGTCAGTCACGAGATCGTCATCGTCGGATTGAGCATCTTGCTCTTTGATAAAGTCAACAACCTGAGAAAAAGCCCATTTGGCAGCCTCGTTTTCTGGACGAAGTACCATCAGCGCACGCCCAGCCGGACTATTAAATCCCAGCGGGTCCAATATAGTGGCTACACTGCTGGGAGACGCCATACTGAGCTGAGTGTTGATTCCCAACTAGAATAAATCAGGCAGATATATGTAAAAGTCTAAACAATAAAATGCATCATATACCTGCTTTATAAATCTTTGGTCACCAGACCTGCTGCCTATGCTGGTTGTTGGGATGGAGCATCACGTGATGTCATCCAGTGTGTGATCCTATCAAGGTTGACTGCAACCGAACAATGTCATGCTTGTGCAACTTGACACATCACCACGTCTGTAATGCGCCTCGGCCGCCGTACTTGGTCGGTCTAATGGCCTCGTTTAGAGGGCATGATAGCTATGACCATGATAAGACATTCTCACCAAGCGCAACCGCAACCGCGGCATCGACAGTAGACCAGACGATGGACGGTGAAGTGGACTTGACGGAACCCAAGATTAGCTATTCCTGGACATACTGGTATGCCAAGTTCACGGAGCTCAATGAATATGTACAGCCTCCCGCCATCTTCAACATTGTCGCCTCTTAATTAACAGACTCTGTAGGAGTGTCTCCCTAACCCGGTTGAAACGCAAGGCGCACACCTCATCTCAGCGCCATCGTCGCCGAATGCAGTAGGGTCCCGCCACGACCCTTCTTCGTTTTATGACCACCTGTTTGAGCGGCTGCGTGGGCTTGCCTTGCGACAGTCAATACGCGAGAATATCTACGGCGAAGAGTTTGCCAACGAATGGCCCATCTCACGGACACCGCGCGCCTTGGCGAATGAGATCCGAATATCTCGAAGAAAGGCCCGTGACGCACTGCTGCATCTGGATTCTCCGTCTACATCATCGGATTCTGAATATGAGCCGGCCTGGAAAAGAAGAATTCGCGAAGTGCGAGAAAAGAAACGCCACGCCAAGAAGCAAGCCAAGCTACTGGCTCAGGCTCAGGCTCAAACTGAGGACTCGGTTCAGCTTCAACTTCAAACTCAAGTTCAGTCTCGATCGATCCAGGTTGAACCTCAACCTCAAGCCCGGTTTCTCCTTGAGCCGATTGTTGAGGATGAGGCAGAGCAGTCGCCCATCCCCGCCACCAGGGCTCTAACCGATGCCGTTCGCCAGATGACCATACCACCGTCTCGCGAGCTAGGTGACGATGTTAAGAATTCCAACCAACTCTTTTGCGCCTTTGTGAACAATCTCAGCAATGTGTGCGATAGAGAAGGCGGTGACAACACTGTCACCTCCGTCGTCGTTGTCAAGGATCAGTCATTCGAAAAACGCAAGACACCGCCGACACCAGTCACTCCCTCTTTTAAGAATGCCAAAGTATGATAAGAGGGCTTACATTGTCCTTCTTCCATTGCTTGGTGTCTCCAAAAATCGGTCTTATAAGCTATAGAGGCCGACATGTTTCATTATTTACACAACTGGATCCGTTTGATATACCCAGGCCATTAGCGACGGAGTTTATTTGATATAGGTAGTTTAAAAGGCAGGTACTAGATTTAGACATCAGGGGTCGGCATAAGGCGCAAGCAGATACCCTGGAAACTGGCGTTTCGTTTCGTTTGGGATATTTATTCTTTTTGCTATTGTACTAATATGGAAGACTGACTCCTATATTCCTCATTCAGAGACGAGCAAAGACAGTGATGATGTAGCAAGTAGTGAGTAAGATATCCAAGGCATCCATCCACTGTAATTGGACAAGCGTGTATATCCGCAAGTGACGTGCAAGGATGGTACTGTAGCATCAACGCTCGCTTGAATGACAACTCAATGCAAGGAATAGAATGAAACAAAGCCATGACCTCGGAATATTACGCAATGCCACGGATCCGAATACTAGACGCTGCAAAACCCCGTCAGCCCAACAAATAATCCGCGGAGTCGCAAATAGAAGTGCCTGGAATTCCCACAACCCGAGGTATCTAAGGTCCGAGCTTTTGCCGCAACCTGCAATACAACTCAGGCTTGCTTCGAATCGCCATCAACGGCGGGGCATTTCTCTCAAATCCCATATCCACCTCCCGACCGTTCCCGAGCTAGATCTAGCACGGCTGTCGATGCTTTAGCTCCCTTCTATAAACTCGCATCTCCCCGAACTCGGATTCTCGATCGGCACTTCACTTAAGCTTCTTCTACATACACACTGCGAGCAATTACTGTAGTGGTACTACAAGATGGAGTACGTCGAGCATCGCATGAACGACGAAGCCGTCAAAGAAGCCGCCAGGTATATCAACAAACACACACTCTCTTCCCTCCTCTATATCCCCCAAGCTAACATCAATCTTTCATCCCAGCTCCGGCCTCGTCTCGCCCCTCAACATCGTCCTCCTCTCCATCATCCTCTACACAGCCTACTCCACCTTCTTCGCCAAATCCTCCTACCCTCAACTCCCAAAACCCCCTCCCCCCGTCGTATTCAAGACCTACAACCCACACACCCTCCTCCCCTTCAACGGCGAAAACGGCGCCCCCGTCTTCCTCGCCGTGCGCGGCGCAGTATTCGACGTCTCCCGCGGCCGAAACTTTTACGGTCCCGGCGGTCCGTACGCGAATTTCGCTGGCAGGGATGCTAGTCGGGGGCTTGCGTGCGGGAGTTTTGATGAGGATATGTTGACCAAGGATTTGGATGGGCCGCTGGACACGTTGGCGGATTTGGGGGCGGAGGAGATGGATGCGCTGAGGGGGTGGGAGGAGAGGTTTACGGAGAAGTATGATATTATTGGAAAGTTTGTGTCGATGAAGGATTTTGAGGAGCTTGAGAAGAAGGAGTGATTTTTAGGACGAGCGAAGTTTTGAGGAAGAATTACGGGTTTGGATTCACGGGATATATATGAGCAAGCAATGGGATTTTCATTCCAAAGATGGAATTCTTTTTAAGGGGGGAGAATAGCTAAGCTTTTTTTGTTTTCGGTGCTTTGATTCAGAGGAGAAACATATGGGTAAGATGACAAGATATAAAAACGGCGACCTAAAAAACGCCAATGCCATGCCGTTTCTCAGATTCGAGAAAGGATTCCACACAATATAAAACAAAGACAAGACACTGGACCGGGAATCCAACCCCATGATACTTCACCGGTCCCAAAATACCCATCATCCCTTTTTGCAGCAAGTAAAACGCACTCCTTCCACGCAAAAAAACGCAACGTAGATTGACAAAGAAAAGCAAAAAAGGCTGGTGGAGTAGCCGCGGAGAAGAACCAAAGCAGACATATCCTCCAAAACAAAAAGAGCCATCCATCATCTCCTAAAGCACATCTTAGCCTCCCCCCCTATTTGACTCCTCTTGAGTTCTGTCGTTCGTTAATAAAAGGAAAAAGTTGGATTATGTATGGCGGGAAATATCGGGATATATATATATATATATATAATATAGAGAGAGGTGTGTCGACGTAAGAAGTTTCGATAACAATGTCTGACACGGATGGCAGCACATTTCCCATAGCATCTAAAGAAATCAAGGTTTCGAAAAAGAGAAAAAGGAGAAAACTGGTTTTCGTTACATCTCCAAAACTGCTGCCGCTTGCTTCATTAGAGCCGCTGTCTTAGCAATGTACTTGTTGGCATCGTCCCAGGCCTCTGCGTCGACGAGATCGCGGACGGCTGGGAAGAAGGCTTCGTCGTAGCCTGACCATAGTTGCGGGCCGAAAACGACGTGCTTGAACTGTGTGCGGTTGGGAATCTAGCAAGAAAAGAATTAGCATCAGTTTAACAATCCCTTCCCCTGAGTCAGGAAAGAGTGTGAGAAACAACTTACACCACCGCCAAGCTCCAAATCCAACAAAGCCGTCTCAAACATAGCCATCTTGTTGTTATACGCAATTCGCGCCGTGCCCAGCTCCTGCGTCTCCCAGCCACCGCTTCGAATGACCAGTCGGTCCCATTCCATCTCCCACTTCGAAAACTGCTGTGCCTTCGCCGAGACCGTCGCAGCCGCATCCTTGAGGTCCACGAATTTGAGAACACCCTTGTGCTTCTTCTTCTCTGCCTCCTTGTTCGCCCATGACTCCAGATCGCTAACCCATGTCTCGAGGCTGCGGCCGTAGTTGACCATGTCAAAAGGCATAATAGGCCGGTCTGCCAGGTCGAGGATGATGAGACCGACGACTTGGGCAAGTATGCCGTGATACGTAAAGCCGGGGTCAATAACCTGCTCCATCAAATCAAAGTTGTCGTAGCTGGAGTGGTAAGGGAACGGCTCGCCGGCAAACTCGAGATCCAGCGAGCTTGTACCGGCAATGTCCTGGAAAGCGACGTAATCGCTGCCCGCGCCCAAGCCCTCGAGCTTACTGCCGCTGCGATCCCAGAGGTCTTTGAGGGTGGTGTTGAAGTTTGGGTCGACGACTCGCTCCATGGCGTGGAACAGGCTCTTTCGGAGGGGAGGCGAACCGGCAGCGCGGAAGTTCTGACCAGATACTACGGTGTCCAGGTTGATGTAGGCAAAGGCATTCTCACGCAGGGCATCGACATTCTTCTCCACAAACTCGGTAGATCCAATGAGGTTGTACTCCTCGGCGTCCCACGACATAAATTCAATGGAACGGAGAGGCCTCCAGCCGCGATCAACCAAGTCTCCAAAGATGCGCGCCAACTCAATCATGATGGCCGTGCCTGTGTGCGGGTCAGTCGCGCCAAATGCCCATGCATCTCGGTGATTGCCTAGGATAATTGATTTGGCCGACGTTTCCATGCCTATAATCTTGCCGTATACGTTCCAGATGGGCTGCTTCTCGTTCTCATCCTGCTCGTTCTGTAGACGAACAACGGGCGACGATTCGTTTCCAGTCCACCACTCACTAACCTCAGGCACGCCTCCTTTCCAAGCATCCGGCACCTTTTGGCCAAAGCCCTGGAGGTTCTGCAGCAAGACTTGCGCATCTCTCCAAGCAAGCGGGAGACTGGGAATCTTGACAAGCCCCTGGCTTTCTTCAACCTTCATGCGAGGGACTTCCTTCTTGCTCTCCCATCCCGGCGTCAGGACATCGCCGACAACCCAGCTCATGAGACTGACGGAGCCTCTCTGGACGCCATCCTCCGGCATATATCGCCCACCAGGGGCGACGTCGCCTTTGAGGAAGCCGTCGTCGGCAGGATCGCTGTAGATGATGCATCCCGCAAAGCCCGCCAGCTCGGCTCCCTTGACTTTGAGAGCGCGGTCTGTCTGAGTGCCGTAGTATCTAACGAGAGCAATTGCCCCGGTAGTGTTGACGCCCATGTCCTTAATCTTTTGGTAGTCTTCCCTCGCTCCGTAGTTGGCGTAAATCAGGGGTCCCCGGACGTCGCCAGACTTGGAGTGTCCATGGAACGCCAAAGTCTGCTTTCCGGCCGACTCGCCTCCGCGCTCAACCTCCTCGAGCGCGGCGGTCCAAACCGCATTGTCGCCAGTCTCATCTAGAATCTGCACGGCCCGGCCGTTTTCGCGTGGGTAGTTGAGGTAGACGTAGTAGTCGTCCATCTCCACAATGTCCAGCCCTGCCTTGTTGAACATGGCCTCGACGTCTAGTGCCGTCGCATAGTCGCCCTCGGTACCAGCAATGTGTGCGTAGCTCGAAAAGATCTTGACGGCGGCGCGCATCCTCCTAGGATCGACAGTCTTTTGCAGGTGGACTCGAAGATCCTCTGGATCGAAGCGCATGCCTCCATTGTTCATGCCGTTGGTCAGTCCGCTAAGCATGCCGCTCGCAAAGAGGAAATACATGAAGCCAATGACGATGCCGAGCGCTAGTAGTCGCGCAACCGTGACAATAATCATCATGCTGTTGACCTTGGGGAAGGCAAAGTCTCGAAGCCACGACCTCACGTTGTCGAGATCCTCCGTTTCAACCGCCTCGTCTGCGGTTGAATTGTTCGCCGGCGCTGCTGACGGCCGCGATGGCAGCTGGATGCGTATCCGCGGTAATCTTAGGCGCCACTTGAACTTCCACGCCGGCAGCGACAGGTTGAAGCCTATCCTCTTCCCCCATATTGATCCTCCTGTGCGGCCGGGCTCCTCAATCTCCAGCTCCTCCATCTCCCGCCGCACCTGGTTCGTCTCGTCGGCATCGCTGTCGCTATCCCACAAGCTGTCCTCGTCATCCGTTTCCACCGTCGGCGCTCGATAGCCATCGGGCCGCCTGGAGCCCTGTGAGCTGTCGGCGGCCCGAGGCAGTAGTGATCGCGATTCGGTCTCGGTCGCGTTGCGCTCGTCGATGGCATCTCTCGTATGCGTTGCCCAGCCACGACTGCTGCCGGCCAATGCCTCATCGTACGTCGGCGGCACCGGGTCGTAAAACGGCACCTTTTCCGAAGGCATGGTGGGCTGGTGGGTTTAGAAAAGCAAAAACAAAAGGCGTAGTGTACAGGCGATGTTGCGCAATCATCCGCAGAGGGTTCGTCTATGCTCGTCGATGGGCGAACTGGTATGGAAGAGCACGCGATGTCGAGGGGGCCATTCAGATCGAAGGGGGTTATTTTTCCGTTTAGAAAACGAGCCAAAGCGGGCTAATCAAACGAGTGTCGAGAAAATGAGAGAGAGAGAGAGAGAGAGAGAGAGCGAGAAGCAAGGCGAGGAAAAGAAGAAAAGGATAATGCAAAGGTACAGTAGTACGAAGAAGAGTAACAAGAAGAGTGAGTATTCGAGGCCGATTACGAGCGCCGCATATCCAAGGAAAAAGGGCTGATGAGCGTCCAGCCGGTCGAATCCGCTGGAGATGGAGGAACAAAGAGGCTTACGAGGCCGTCGAAAAGATAAGGGATGACGATGCTATGCTAAATGGTACAAAGCCGGGGGGGCCGCCTAGACTTGGGCTTCTGTGCACCGCCCACTTTGGATCGATATCGCCAGCCAAAAGCCTAATGAGTGGTAAGAATAAATAATAAATAACACCACCAATGACCTCCCGTAATAGTTGAGCAAGACAGTTATTAACCTACTCAAGCCAGTTCAGCTTTATTGCTCATCTGCTATTAGACGGTATTACTACGTTCATTAGCATTCTCCCTCCCTGGAATGAATTACATTCCCCCCCCCCCATAAAACAAGACGCCGCACTCCGCCCCTATAAAATTGAAATCGCCTCCTAGACCCTTCGAAACGTGACGGGTTACATTAAAATCCGCGCTTGGCAGCTGCACCTCATTTGGCTAAGTCTTATTAACGCCACCAAGATACTACGGACTTTTGTATGTAACTCCCCGTTTGAAGGAATAAATACCTGTGAATCCAGTACTCTGCATTCATTCAATCAATTCATGCGGAACAGTAGAAATGATCAAAATAAAGATAGAATAAAATAAAATAGAGAAGATATCGGCTACAGATACTCTGCTGAAACACGAGGCAATCCATGTTTGCAGCTGACTGGACCCTTGGAAAAGACGCCAGCTTTGCGTTCGTTTGCGCTGATCCGCATGGGATGGGATGCCAAATCTGCCTGTTGATCTGTCAATAGCACAGTCAGACTAGCCACACCCGAACTCGTACCCCAGCTGTAATTAAAAATGGAAGGAAAATACGCTACACTACAGATGGTCGGGGTAAATAAGGCGACAGCAAAGCCCGTTCGTTCAGCTCCACATCGTATTTCGTGCTGCGTGATTGGCGCTACGAGAATAGCTGCGAGATGAGTACCGTTGAAGATGCCATGGAATACACATACACACAAACTCGATTATTACTGCCAACACGCATCAGTCACCACAAGACGCCTGGTGTACTATAACCCCTCGTTTTATATACCCAGCTTCTCAACAATCAACGTGCCTCTTGCGACCAAAGCTATATATAAGAATAAAAATACATCAATAGTCATGTCCTGTCCTTCTTTGCTCCGGCTGCGTCTTGGTGGTGAAATTATACATCTAAATGCTCTCATCCCGTCCCCATCTTGCCTATACTTACCCCCTTCCCAAGAGCCTATTCTTGATATAGTTTTTTTGCTGTACCGCGGAATTCAACCTTCAACCCCCCTGGCCGAGAGACCAAGTGTCCATTCTCCTAGCTTGGATACAATACGACGCCTTCATACTGCCTAGACTTGATATTCTCCAGGGTCTGGTGGAAGTGCTTCTTGCTGGTCTCTATCGAAGCTGAGTCTTGCTGGTTACCCGCCAAATTGGAGTGAATCAGCTCAATGAGCCCGTTCAGGTATTTGGTAGTCACCTGATAAAAAAAGGGGGAAATGTCAGTCAATTGTTCAATAAATATCATCTGGCAACGGAGATGCCTACCGATTCATTCTGTTGGTCAAAGTAGTAGACGTAGCGATCCAAAATCTCGACAAACAATTCGATGGAAGTCGCTGTTTCCATGCACGAATCGGCCACGCGAAGGGCCCGCTGCAAGCACTCGAGCACTCGTTTGCCGTCACGATAGAGCTGTTAATCAGGTCTTGTTAGCGGATGTTGTATTGCCTCCTTCTTCCTTTCCCCTTCTATTTGGATATCTTACCTCAGTCTCTTCTGTTTCATTATTGACGGCGACGGGCGTCGCCCACCACAAATGACTTGCCAGGTAGACGGCTCGGCATTGATCTGGTTTCCGCAAAAGCTTGCTGCCGTGCTGGGCACACTTGGTGATGAGCGTGTCGTAATTCTCCTTGCCAAAGCTGCGAGTCTGGTGAAGTGAGCTGGCAATGACGCAAACGGCCTGGAACTGGGCTTTAGAATCCGAGATGGACTCTTCATAAGCGGTAAAGGCCTGCGCATAAAATTCATATGCCACCTCTTCAAACCCGGTCAGGTCTGCCGTCTGCCCTGCCGAGCAAAACAGACGCAAGGCCAGCTCAGCTACCCCCGCGCCGTTTACGCGAGTGTACAGCGTACTAATTGCAGAGTGGATAAACTTGTACAGAGCGTTGATTTGAGACTCCCAGTTGTCCTCAAAGTGCTCTCTAGATTTAAACTTCCTGGCCAGCTTGAGACAAGCTGTTATTAGCGGTGGTGTGGTTGTTCGGATGCGGTCATTGCCCTCTGAGAATGCTTTGCGTGTCAGCTGCAGGAGCTTGAACTGCGTGTCGTTGTCGTCGGCCTGCAGCAGATGCACCATTCTTGCCAGCCATCCTTGCTCTTCCAGGGTCTCGTCTGTCTCTACGGCTCGCCGCTGCGTGGCTCCGGCGTATCCTTGTGGCGCCTGCGTTCCCTCCTTGATGAGCACCGACAGCACATCGAGGACATGCTCCAGCTGGTCCGTCTTGGAAATCTTGATTTGGTCTTTCAAGAGGCCGCGGATGATGCCACCAGCAACGGCCCGGCGAGTAGGATATGACTGAGCTTGGAAAAGCGGCACGTATGTTGGAAGGGAAAGAGCGGTAAATATGGATACGTAGCGGTTGAGAGGTGCCTGCAGCAGCGCGAGGAGGCTCTGCTGAGCTTGAGCGGAATGAAGATCAGCATTGTTGATGTTCTCCTTGGTTTTTGTAGTGGCATAAGCCAAGATCTGGTCCACATAGTCCAGTCGGTCGGGGTAGTTGTTAAGCGCCAGGTTACAGAGCGATACCAGCAGCGCAATGGTGTCCTGGATAGGGAGGTGCTGGGCTTCAACGAGGTTTTTGACCTGTGTGAAGAAAACTTCGTAGAGTGGTACATCTTTAGCATCGTCAACCGCTTCTCCTTCCTCCTCCCCTTCTTTTCCATTGACAGCCGTTGTCTCTGTTTCAGCAACTGAAGCGGCCGATTCATCTGCCACGGCAGTGGTATCCGCCTCATCAGCTGCAGGCGGTGCTGACGCTTCACCCTCTTCTGGTAGCTGTTGGTCAGCTTCGGTGCTGGGCTTGCTGTCGGTTGCAGCGGCATCCTCTGCAGGAGGCGGCTGTTCAGTGGCGGCTGGAGGAGCAACTTGTGGCTCGGCCTCTTTCTGGAGCTTCACCTTCTCCAGCAGATTGGCGAGGGCTTCGGCTTCGGCCTTTTCTTGATCAGGGCCCCTCTCACGCCCGCCTTCACGTTCAGCATACTCTGAGAGACGGTCCATGAGGCCACTGACTATGGCTTTGACGTTGACGTGCGGGTTCAGTCTTGATACGGCGCCAAGGAATTGACCTAGCGTGTGTAGGTGGAATTCGTCAGGGAACACCTGTGTGATGACTTCGAGGAGATATTCTTGGGCTAGAACATCTCGGCATTGCACAACTTGTTCCAGCAGAGGTGCGAGAATGCCCGTCTTGTACGTTTCAAGATCCACCAGCTGGCTCAGTCGCACAATGTTGCTTCCCACCAGCAGCTGGAGCTCTTTTCTCTCGCGGATCCTCTGCTCCCTCTCGCGGGAGTGGCCTTGGTGCTGCAGACGAACCCACAGTTTGTTCATTTCCACAAAGTTGGTCAGGATGAAATTGATCGAGTCGCTGAGGTTGCCTTCAGGACCATCGCCGCTGCCAGTAGGGAGGAAATCCCGGGCCTGGCCTGACATGTAGTAACGCAGAAACAGTCCCCTGATGGGGTGCTGGACACCGCGGCTCATGTCCATCATATCCTTCATCAGCTCCTTGACCGGCGCATCAGGTATGGACATGTAGGCAGTTCCCACGGTGACCATGAGATACATCCTGGGGATGATGTTCCCGGCATATTGAACCAATTCGTAGAGATCGGCAAGGTGGTTAACAGGGTGGTTTTCTCGGAGGTGGACAGCTAGGAAGCGCAGGGCGTCGAAAATGGCCATGTAGAGCTCGTAGTACTGCTTGGGACCAAGGCTGCTTGTGCGGAGCTCAGAGACGAGCGTCGAGCTATAAAGCCAGGAGGCCAAGATTCATGCGTCAGCCCCTCTCTCTATGTATTCGCGTCTTTGTGTTTGCCGCCTCTTTCATTCTCTGAGACATATCGGCACCTACCAGCATTTCAGGGCATCCATAAGCTTTCCCGGCGTGTCGAGGCATTTCCGCATGAGCGACGTCTGCTGGCGCACTGCAACCAGGGCATCCTCCAGCAGCCGAGCCTGATCCTCCGGGGGGGCGGGCGTGGCCATTGTCGCAGCTTGTTGGCAGGCGGCGGGGTAGCTTGAGCTTGCAGGGACGATGAGGCCAGAAACAAAAACAAGCCCTCAGTTAGGCATTGACGGGACAGGGCGAGGCGATTGCGCCGGGTTGGTGATGTTGGAATAGCCTCGAGATAGTGAAGACAGGGCAAAAGGCCAGCGCAAAGTGGCTTGGCTGCCAGTGACGACAGCTTTGGTTACTATGGATATTGCAGACTGGAGCTGCCAGAGGAGCTAGCCGGTACTTTGGGACTCGTACCCAGGGTGAGCAGACAGCCACGTGATTTCAGTCTCTTTCTTGTACTGGGCCAAACATCCCAATTTCAACAATGACGATGGACCTTGGACTGCATCTCCTGTTTAAACATACACATAGAACCCATTGATTTTTCGGCATCTCACTTCACTCTGGTGCGCATTATCATGGACTTGAAGCCTGCTCTTGATTTGCTCTTCTACAAGACCGAGTTACATGGAACCCCCACTTTGGAGACCAGCAACACCCAGGCTCACTAAGAAAACACGCAAACACATCAAGGCACGACAAAGCTGGGCTTCGAACTAATATAAAATGCGATAAAAATCACGGTACATCTTTCTTTCACATAGGGGCAATCATATGTATCATCAACTCAGTTGTATGCTTATTCAGCCATGTACTTTGGGAGCCAAGCAGCCTTCTATCCAGTCTCCTATTCTCTTATCTAACATCTTACAAAAAAAAACAACGCTCTAAACAAAGACCATGAAAAACGCCCGCTTCATATCAATAGATCCCCATTTCCCCTTTATTTCTTTTTTTTTTTCTTTCTCTCTCTTTTTTTTTTTTTCTACCATTTGACCACCTTCTGAGGGAAAAACTCGTCAATCAGCTCCATGTAATAGGGCTTGAGCTCCTCCACGCTAGGAACATCATCACTCTTGCTGTACAAGTCGTACGGGTTAAAGGCCTGAACGGCCTTCATCATCTCCCAGTCCTTCTCAACCATAAACTCCCTGTAGGCTCCCTCGCGGTGCCAGGGGTAGAACGAGTGGTAGCGGATCATGGCAAGCGCCTCATCCGGCAGAAGCGACTGATCGCGGACGACATGGTAGAGATACTCGTCATGGCCCCAGCTGAGCATCACGTTGTCCAGACCACAGCCGGGCGAATAGATGCCATACTTGGTTGAGTAAATGGGATCCTTCGTGTCAGGGTTGTTGACAAAGGTGTCAGGCAGGATGATTCGCTTGTCAAAAGCACAGCCAACGGGGAACGTATCGCCAACGACATCCCATTGACCCTGTGTTTCGAGCTCGTCGAAGAAAAGCATGAGCTTGCCTAGGTCATGGATCAGACCTGTGACCTGCATCCATCGTGGCTTGCCATCACGGCGAATCGCCTCAGCAGACTGGAGCAAGTGCTCGATCTGAGACAGCGACGTGTCTGGGTCAGATTCGTCAACGAGAGTGTTGAGCTTCTCGATGGCCTCCCAGACGGTCATCTCCGGGCGCACACGTGAAGCGCTCTTGAACCGGTTGCGAGCAGCAAGGTTGTAGGCAACAGTCTGCTTTTCGTGCTGCTCCTTGTAAAAGTTTTTGACCCTGTCGCAGGCATCCTCGTACTGGCGGAAGTTTGCCTTGTCCTTGTTGGCGTCGAACTTGGACTCGGAATCGTACTTGATGCAGTTAACGTCGTCGATGGCGTCGGAGACGTTTTCCAGCTTCTGGCCGACGGAAAAGGTCTCGCCGAGATCAACGATAGCTGTTGGTGCCATGGTGAAGGGAAATATGTAGGTGTCGAGTGGTGTAGTGATGTACTTGACGGGCAGAGGAACAGATCGTGAATATACGAATAAAGTGTCGTCAAGTACGCGTATGAAATGGGAAAAATTGCAGTATATAAAAAACGATTGTTATATGCCCCGTATTGTATTGGGATACTTGTGATATTCCGGACGCTCGGTTGTATATTTCTCAACAGTCGTCTCTTGGATGAAGAAAGCCAGCTCTGCTAGCCAGGACATCGCAGGCCTTAAGTATCTTTCGACATCCCATGGTTGACTTTCCTATTTTACCGAATTGCCTTTTTACGTCATTAAACGAGATCCTCCACCCCCTCAAAAAAATCATCGCCATGTGCTGCTCGTAGGTTGTACGATGGGGTCAATGTCTAGACACAAAGCCGGGCCCCTGGTGGAACTTTCGGCGGCGAGATTTCCATATTTGGGGTCAGCTAGGAGGCTAGCGCCGCCGAATATTTCCAAGAAAGGATATCCCCAGATCTTATCCCAAATGCGCACGAATCTAAATCTTAGATGGCGGGCGCCATTGCTCGTTCAGGCAGATGAACACATCGACGTTGATCGTACCAGACGGGGAAAAATCACACTGATGCTGAACCCATCAGTTCATCTCAGATCTGCTTTTGAATCTAGCATCACTTTTTAATCTCTTCTTTTTATCCGACAGAATCTCACCAATCAAGAGCCCTCAATGTCCATCTTTTCCATATGCAGTAATTTACACTGGTGGAAGCGCTCCATTCTTGTGATATCACGCTGTATCCGCACCATCTCCTCCTCACTGGACCTGGATTCCATCATACCTGCCTGCATCGGGATCAAAGCAGTCTTCCCCCGAGCAAAGTCCCCGGCCGCTCAGAAGTTCGAGACCTTCTTCTCCTTTACATCTGAAATCGGTCACGAATCCCCCGTGGACCGCTGGTCGGCTGACTGCAAGATCCACATTTCCCGCCGGTGTCGCCTTGAATTGTCTCGAAGCTCGGATGCCTGTACGGTGTATTCCCGGATGCCTGCTCAAGCTGCACATTTGTAGACTCAGCCAATGTCTTATCCTTGATGAGAATAAGACTTCCATCCATCATACGATTTGAAGACTTATTCAAGAATCGAGTCTGTGAACAATTTTCTTCTTCGGACCTCCTTTTACTCATGGACACAGCCCCCAGATAGATCCAGATATGGTAAGAGGCGGCTTGCTTCGCCATTTTGAGACATGGACTATCTTCAAAAGTATTAAGATCCCAAATCCTGTATGGTGAGTCTTGACCATACCGTAGATTAGGGCATCTGATGTGGGCATTCTACGTCTGCGGGGGCAATTCTGACCTGCTGCCAACATTTCCGCTCTTTCTCCGAGAGAGACATGGCTCCAGTAATCGTTTATTATTTTATAATGCTTCTAAATACGGATGATCCATTTCCTGTGTAATTCGGTACTATGCCGCTTTCAAATCGCGTTGTGGCTACATCACTTGAACCATTCTTACAAATATTGATACCGACCTAGCAAAACACTAGATAATATGAACATTTAGCCAGAAAAGGATTATAGTAATCTAATTGGTCTCTTTAGTCAAATTTTATTTGTAATTTATTATTTGCAACTTCTCATCAGGTGTGGTACAGGGCTTATAATCCGAAATGATTCGGCGAGCTTTATATCATATTGCACGGATACGACTATATCACACTCTTCGATTAGCAGGCAATGATACAACTTAATCTCAAAAACGTGATAGTGACTGCATCCCGTCTAACTTTTCCAATACAGTAAATTCGGATGGTGATCCAGAATTGCACAATCCCTACATTTCATGATTCATCTGGACAGGACAAGCGCAGCTCACCCCGGCGCTTACTACGGTGTAGAAACAATATGACTAGAATGAATTCAAACTCATTGGATAGATTAGGCATAATTTCTGCCCAGATTTCGTAATTACCCATCATGTTCATACTCCAAGAATCTCAGCGAATGACCTTGCATTGATGAATATTATTCTTTGATATGAAGAGATAAGGAGAGATCATGATCCTTTGTTGGGAGATTTATTTCGAAGTACGATGCGAGAGCTGACTTCACCAAATGATACTAATTTTGAAGGTTCAAATACTAAGCGAATTATACACATGATCGATTCACAAGCGTCACGTCCAGTTGTCTGAAATTGTGTTAACTTCAGACGACTTTGGTTGTTATAAGTCGTGTCGATTTTATTATAACTTCCTTCTAACTAGTATCTAAGGATAGTCTGATATCTGCCTACTCCTACGGGCGCAGTATCGATACTATGAAGGCTTGGGCGTGACACTCTGCTGTCGAAATATTCCAGAGGCTAAGAAGGCCAAGTTGGCTTTATTAGCCTTATGACTGGAGTACGGTTTGGACAAATATATACGGTTGAACTAGTAAAGCTCTGTATAGTAGATTCTTCTGTTATTTAATCTTAAAGTATCTCAAGGTTTCATTTGTTGCCAAGATCAGGCTGGGACATCGAGCAGCGTCGCTACCACAATGTTGGCATGCTTCTCGAGATCAATTTGCTTCATGTTTGTGAGATCAACCACTCCTGGATTGAGACTTGTTATCCCCAGTTTGTCGAGATCTGTGCTCTCTGCCAGCTGGACGGGATCTATCGGATCTGGCCTTTCGCGGCCTATTAGCTGCCGGAGCCTGCTACCGATGTCAACATCGGTATTAACCGTGATATTAAAGCTGAACGGAACTTCATCCCTTCGGCGGAGCAGTACTGCCGTCCGGAGGAAGCTCGGTATTCCTTGCTTCAGTTTGGGATCTTCCGCCAGGGTCCATATGGCGCTGTTGCCCTTGCCCCAGCCAGTTTCCAAGAGGCGCTTGGAGCCCGTTAACGTAGTCGCATGTTCCGTGCTCTGCACTTGCGTAGTCTCCCATCAGACGTACCCAAGCTCTCCGCCAACTCCCGTGAACTCTCCTTTAAGACTAGCTGTGAGTGACTGTTTGACGTCTTTCGTGGATACGGCCTTATTGATGGCGAATTTGCCTTGCGGCGCAATGGCAAAGACCTCGGGGCGGTTCCTATCATCGCCACTTTCGTCGTTAAAGACGAGCTTGATCTGACCGCTGGTGAACCTATGCGAGCTGTTGACCGCTATAAAGCTGAAATGGAAGATGAGCAACGATGCCGCATCTTCAGCCGGTGTAAAATTGCCATGTGTAACGTTGACTAGAGCAGCTCGTAAGACGAGCGCTTCACCACGATCGATGAGAACGCTGCGGGCAGTTTCTCCTGGTACATTTTTGGTGCGGAATCCTGACTCAGGGTCTCCTTCAAGAAGCAAAATATCAACTGGTTCCATCTCCGGTCACGCGATATAGAATAGAATAAAGGAAGAAAGGTCCCGTTGCGGATGCCCGACAATGTTATTTAATGGCGGTCATAGCACGGGTATCAATGAATGGCAACACACCATATATCTATTAGTGTTTACTCTGAACACGCCAGCCGCGAATCATTTCACTTCCCCGCAGCCATTGAACCCAATCATGGCAAACCACATTTGCTTGCGTTAGGTGCCAACACAGGCTTCTCGGAATGTATGTATATAAGCCCCCCAGCGCCAGCCTATCAGTCGCTATCAGCAATAAGATTTACAAATCTATCATATGTAAGATTCATACGGAGATAGGGGGGTTGTATTCGATTGGCGCACTGACAATGCACAACAGTAGCGGCGCGCACAATGATTCAAAATGCTACCTACCCTTGTACATAATCAATTGCAACACTTAAGGGCTGTTGTCATAAATACATGTATATAGTATACAGATATAGGTATGTATGTAACCATTGACTTTCATCATCTACCCTGAGTTACGAAATACATCCGTATTTTTACTCGTATTGCTATACAATTAAGGGCCCATTCTAGAATGTCGGCTGAGAGTGTCCACTTCCTGCGACTGTCAGTGATTTCGAATGAGAGTAATTGGTGCTATATCGAGATGCATTTAAGGTTCATATGTTTCAAAGTACATAACAGAGGGCAGTATTCCACCTAGAGTTGTAATAAGTCGTGAATTAGTTCAAAGGCTAGTCGTATAATGTCAAGGAGACCTCGTGTAAGACAGACGAATCGACAAGGAAGCAATCGGGCGACTTATTTTCCTGAACAACAGCCCCATGGTTCATGATCTAGTGAATACCTCCAGAAACTTATAGTTCATCCCGACTCTCTCCTAAGTTCTCTTGAGTATTTTGCCCTTTTTCGCCAACAATCTCCCTTGCAAGCTTCGTCCAAAACGAGCACGCGCTTCGCAAATTTTGAGTATCGTTAGAAAGCTCAAAGTATGAGTTCTCCAGTCCTCTCCACCACACTCGCATCACGTTCCGCAGCTCATCGTCACTCCCATCTGCAATCGGCCAGTCCGGTATTCCCCGTTGCAACGGCTTATTCGGATCACCATAAATAGCAAGTGAAGCAAAGTATTGCCTTAAATGCGGAGAAACCTTGGCGATAAGTGGCTCGGCATAGCCTTGGGCGAGAAAGCCTGGCACGCCGGTCTTTCTCAGTAAATGCTCGACTTGCTCAGCGTTGCTGGCGAAGAGCGGGATAATATCGCTCGCATGATACGCATATTGAGTAATAGGGTATCCATAACTCATCATATAGGACTCATCGGGGTATGCATCGAAGAGATATCTGGCGTTGCAATTAAAGGACGCGTGCTGGATGATGGCAGCGAGGCATTTCTGATAGTCGCCTCCGAAGGTAAGTTTGCAGTCGTATTGCTTCTTGATAGCTCGTCTCTGAGGCTCAAGTCGCTGGCCGGGTAGAAACTCATTTAGAAAGGTGTCAAACTTTTCTTCGCTGTCTACGTGTTTGGGGGTAAAATGCGCAGACTCGTTCTCGCAATGGGAGATGATGGCAGACTTGATACCGTTCCAATGCTTGCCTGTGCGAGCAAGTTAGCTCACATATCCAGCTGGGGTTCTAAAGATGGTTTACCCTTCGAAAGCGTTACCGCAGGTATAGATTTGATCCATTTCCCATCTACTGCAGGACCGACGGGAAAGAGGCCCGTCTTTCTAACTTGTTCGAAGAGTTCTTGGTTAGCGCTGATAAGGGTACTCGAATCAGCCGCCCTCAGACAGTCGATGTCATACTCGGCTTTGCAGCCAGCAAGGTTAGAAAACTTTTTGTAAATACCATCGAGGCGACCATCTTGCGAATTATCCCAGGCCCACTCAAATGCCGGACTCTGTACCGCGAATGTGTTGAACAAGGGATCAACCTGGCCGTCCTCCCGAATCAGATGGTGCAAGATCGATCCAGCGCCGGCTGACTCACCCCAGACGCTGATTTGGCTTTTGTCTCCTTTAACTTTGCCAATATGTTCTTGAACCCACTGGAACAGAAGGGCTTGATCATACAAGCCGGCATTAGGTTGCGCTACTTCTTCCATATAGGAGCCAGCAAGCCATCCGAATGCGCCGACTCGGTAGTTGCCCACAACGAAAATTGCTTTGTAGCCAGAAGATTTGACGACGGCGTCACCTCTATAAAGTATTGTGTCTTGATCCTTGGAGCCAAAGGCATATGCGCCTCCGTAGATCCATACAATGACCGGCAATGACTCTGCTTCAGACTGAAACGCTGATACTGGTACATAAATGTCTAGAAATAGGCAATCTTCGCTTTGATCTGTTAATTTCAGTGTTCTAGCCGCTTTATTTGGGTCACCAAGACGATCTCTACCGCCTGGAGGATTGCGTAGTTTCGTGGTGTCAATTTGGATGCAAGTCGTTCCAGAAGTGATGTTCTGCAAAGAATCATCCTCCCAGTCCGGAAAAGAAGGAGCCGCGAAGCGAACCGGTTTAGATCCAAACCGAATATTTTTAAGGACATAAATCTGCGATGTGTCAATTTCCATGTTCAAAATTAGACTGCTGCCAGTCGAGAATAGATCTCGGACCTTGGAATCAACTTCGCTGACAGCAGCCCGCCAGGCTCCCCATGGCAGCTTCAGCTCTGGCGGCTCGACCTGCGCGACGACACTAAAAAGCAGAGTAAGAAGCCCTCCCAGTGAAAATCTCATTCTCATTGAATCTTATGAGGGATCGAGAAATCGTAGCGTGAGTAAGTGCTATTCTTGATAGACTGTTCCTTGGGCCACAGTACACAGATGCGAGATCAATCTTATGGAATCTAGGTTTCAATATAAGATATGATGAGTTCATACACCTGATACGGCCAACCTCTACCCAGTTAACCGGACTCTTAAAAAGACTTTTTAAACCAATTCACAATTTACTCTGAGGATTCTGTCTCGCGGAATAGCCTGTCACTTTCCAATTAGCCATCTAGTTACGCTAGGACAATATTGGTAATTATGAGCCGAAACACTACATGATCAAACCATGTTTAAGATAGCTTCCGAATTGACATATGACATCCAAATGTTATTACCAAATTCAACGCAACCAACCAAGTGCCCAAAATTATCATCCGGATTTGTCTCATATTCCAGCGCATCACCGTTTTATGTTGGCGCAATATGACGCAATTGCCCGAGTCCTATGTCTGCACATATCTCTTGTCGAGGGCCGGCAAATAGTTCCAAGGCGATCCTCACAGATTGACTCAATGTATTCAAGGGGTTCATTAGCTCAATAGGGCTATTACAGGACTAGCATCTATTCTATTTTATGAAGATATCCAGTCGGACGGTATCACGTCAATGTAAGAAGGGTATGTATCGAATAGAGAAGGTGTGACGTGATGCTTCATCTCTTCCCTTACGGGAAACATCAGGCACAGAGCTGTTGACAAAATCATTGGAGCTAATTACTACTGACTATATAGTGAGAGTTGTCTAGCTATCTGATTTACAAATAGGATTACCAGTGATCACAGCCGTAGACTTGTAAGCGGATACCACTGGCTCGGAGATGTCAACGGAGAGAGCGAGCATGAATCAAGTAGATGCATTGGTAACCAAATTCATTGGGTAAATATGAACGATAGACTAACTAGGACTATATCATATATTGTTGAACGGGGATCGAATTGAGCTGACTACGTCGGGTCAATTTCCATCTCCGACTCACTTACATGCTAGCCATTTTGCCCTTGTTGCGGCTGTCCGACATGTTAACTAGAATATGGACGTAATCTTCTCAGAAAGAAAAGATTTTTGCGTCGCCCTGGTAACTGCCGTCGAAAGAGATCTTCACATCGTAGTGAACCCAGACCTCATTGCCGTTTTTAAGGTAAAGACGGATTTCACCCTTAGCAACGAACAGGTCAACCTTGAGACCGACACCATCCTTGAGGTTTCCAAATATATTGCCAACAGTGATACCGGCGACGCTAACAGTGACACCAATTTCGAAAGTATCGGTGTCGATGTACCCAGTGATCTATACATGCCCGTTCAGCATTATTTCTATAGTATCGCGGTCTGGGTGGTGTCTTTTTCCTACCTTGATCGGGCCGAAAGACCAGTCGATGTTAGATCGACCGCGCCCAGGTGGAAGAGAGCGTCCAACACCCTCTTGAGTAGCAACCCAGTAGATGTCCCCCTCCTCGGGGCCCCGAAGGCTGACGATGGCACCTGGTCGTTTTGTCAGAACATCAGACATTGTCAAACGCAGCAAACAAACTCACCAACGTTGGTCTCTTCGGTCTCAGACATTACGTCGTGTTAATTTAATCGAATAGATTATAAATGAAATATTTGTGTAGCTGCGTTGCTTGGTGAGGTGAATGCTGTTGATCAGTGAAGGCTGGTGATAAGAAACTTGGATCAGAGAGAACAGTCGAATTCTTTTATATTTAAAGTTCCATATAGTGTCAAATCATTGTCTTTGATATCCACAATATCACGTCTTTAAATGTTAATCGTCTGTGGCCAGGATAGATCATCATATAGTCCTACCAATGCAATGAAGCGAGGCCAGCTACACTATGTCCATAATGGATGTTAAACTTATAATGTAAATCTATCACAAGATCATGTCAGAGATTGCCTAGCTGAGCCGCAAGAAACATATTGAAAAATGAGACGTTGGGCTTTAGGTAGAACAACTAATGCCTGGGTACAATGTTCAACGATATTTAAGCGTAAAGTTGCTGAGTAATAGATTCCCAGCGGGCAAACTATTAGTAAGTAGAGAGAAATATCGCTACAGCTAGAGCACTATAAGAGCCTGCGAACGCCAGTCTCTTGATCTTTACATTAAATTTTATCGAATGCAACCACAATTGTGCTCCAATAATGATGCCGAATTTTCGTTTTTATTAGCCTTCCTATATTTGCAGCTGTTATTTGCGTGGGGGTTTGCAATTAAATTTTACTCCAACTTTAGCCTACGACTTTGAAGGAGTGCGCTACGAATACTTAGCTTAAGTTAGGCGGTTATTTTACCTACCGTAGTAGGTTTACTTAGATACTACCTAGTAGGTATTTACCATTATATAATCTCGCTGAGCAAATGCATTAGCTGGGCCAACATATTCTTTAAAATTCAGTAAATCAATACTATAGCATTATGTATAGTAATTAAAATTTTAATTAATTCTAAAGAATATAGCTAATACATAAATGAAATTATATAGTTTTCCTAAAACAATCTAGTAGCATTATACTAAATAAGATAAGTTATATCTACATGATGGAATATACATTTAGAGGTGCCTCCTTGTCAAATTCAGCTTATTCAGTCACTCAGTCAATCAAGCAATCTTGCCAAACATTTTTGAACACTCTACAATACGCTGTATCAGCTCTTTCATAATGGAGACCGAAAACCGCGAACAATGGGCTGTCCTTGTTGGGATCGATCAATACCCCCTCGGTGTTCCTGACTTATTCGGCTGCGTCCAGGATGTAGTCGAAGTCTCCGAGCGTCTCATGAACTGATCTCAATATTCCTGCCAAGAACATTGAGGTTTTCACGGCCGCTCAAGGACGGGATCTTGACTATTCGTCACCAGACGCCCCTACCAAGAAAAACTTTCTTGCGGCGCTAAACAGGCTTATGGAAAAGCAAGCTGGCGGTTTCGTTTACGTCCACTACTCAGGTCATGGCGATAGATGTCTTACGAAACACGAGGAGCTCAAAGGACCGGGGCAACATGATGAATGCATTTGCACTTGGGAAGAAGATATCACAGACGTTGAGCTAGGCGGTGTTCTGGATAATCTCGCCGAGAAACATACACTTTTCGTCACACTGGATAGTTGTCATTCGGGGGGTGCGGACCGCGACAGAGAACAAGAAGCGAACTCCAATGTCAAGGTCCGTTGCAGGAGCTACGTCCCTCCTCAGGTCTTCAATCTTTCAGATTCAACTACTCATGGAGACGCAAAATCTGATCAAGCCTCGGATCCTTCAGGCTTGTCTCCTCTTGATAATGGTGGATATCGAAACGTTACTCCCTCAAACAAGAGTTTGCTTTACAATCCTCGCAAATACAATCTCATTGCGGGCTGTCAGCCAAGCCAATACGCTGCAGAGTGGAAATACACGAAGACCGTGGATAACATATCGAAACACTTGACGTGTGGTGCAATGACCTACCACTTCTTGAAGTCTCTGGATAGCCTCAGACCTTCGGGTGAACCCGTGACCTATAAGCAATTGAGCGACAAAATGCAAGCCCCATTCCGGGTCACCCCCTACGGCAACAGGCAAAACCCCATGCTTTTGGGTGATCCAGATCGAATCTTATTAGCTACCAAAACCATGCAGATTAAAGCACGAGCTCTGACCGCAAATGTTATTGTGAACAATAACAACTCAGTGACGTTGAATAAGGGAATTGCGAACCAGATAACCCTTGGAGATAAATTCCTGCTGTATCCTCCTTCCAAGGTCTACCTAGGGCTCATTCTTGCAGATGATGCAGCCGGCATAGAGGCCGAAGTTACTTCAACTGCTATGTACACCTCAGATCTTGTCCTAAGCGGAGACAATGCCAGACGTCTGAACGACATTGCTCCAGGGTGGTTTGCAAGACTGTCAAAGCGATCCCACGCCAAACTAGTCTATCTTCAATTTCCACCAGGGGGGGATAACCCCGCCTACGAGCGAATTCGCACCAACTGGCGGCATAATGTCAATTACCAAGCGCCATACAATTTGATCTTCGATCCTCCAGTCAATGCTCCCACTCCCGACTTCGCCGTCAGTGTCGACGAGAACGCAGAATTTCGGGTGCAGGATCGCGACGGAGATACCCTCAAAGGCCTGCCTTTAATACCCGCAGAAGGAGAAAGAAATGTCAATCAGCTGACGTGTTTGCTCAATCAGCTCTGCTTATACCAAATGCTGTTGTTGGACGTCAAACACTCCCCTGGTTGGAAGCCCAATTATGACTTCAGAATTGAGGCCTTAACTGGCAAGTCACAGGACGACAATTCCCTTGCAGACCAAAAAATAGTCTTCAAGAACAATAGCTTCGTGGGTCTGTACGTAACAATCCTGTATCTCGGGCCCGCCTATTGCATCCAGGAGGTTTTTCCGAATGATTTTGCAAACAGCTCAGAACTTCCCTCGCGTGAGGCAATTTCAGAAGAAGTTATCGTCAGTATCACAATCCCGGACATTCTCAAACCATTCTCAACCCAGCCAAGCTTCCAGATGAGGGATACTTTCAAAGCTTTCATAACAACTAAGCCAATTGACTTGTCTAATTACATGCTGGATGATTTCGAACATGATCCTGCCAAATTAGAATCTCCATCTCGTGCTACTATCAGGCGGCCAGTATTTGATGGATTGGCTGTCGAAGAATTACATGTTATCACGCAACTTGATGAGGACAAAACTTACAGTGTGGTAGTGGAATAACTAGACTGCATATATTACGACACGACTCTTATAGTCGTCATTATGGGTCTCTTAGTCACTGAGTAGGCGGCGCCGGATAAGTATCGGTCCGCCTAACTACATATTGAATACAGATTGTTGAATTGTTAAGATGATCCCATAGTCCTGACTCAGACTATTGAGTGAACGTGATAATCTAGTACAGTATTCACTACATAGTAAAATAAACGATCTGAAACTCGGGGTTAAGCGGACTTAAAGCACTATAAAAATCCATGTGAACTCTTATTTATTAAGCAAAACCGCGAAGCACTTTCGAAGTTAGGAGTTGAGCGAAGTGCAGGCTCCAGACACCAGCCGTAAACTTTACAGGCCACAGTTCGGAATACTGACGATCAATTAGTCAAATTCTCAGTTTGAGGCCAGATTTAATAACTTGAGAGGTAGTGTAGAACTCCATTTTTCGGGCTACCTCAGTTTTGAAGTTGATATTGCAATGTAGCTACAAGACAAAGTTTGCCAAGAGGTTCGTAACCGATAGTGCCGCAGGCAAAGCCCATCTTGCTGATATCAAATTATGCGATGGAATCCCATTGATACAGTACCATTGCTCGCCCTATTGGACACTTTCAGTGGGCATCGGACTTGTATGAGGAGTTACGGAAACGAAAACATAAAGTACAATATACCAAATGTTTTGGGCTCCTCTTAGTGAGGGCCAATGCAAGTTTAATGTCACTGCAGATTCCGATTTGGATTCGGGATAACAATCAAAAGAACCGATTAATGGAGGACTGTAGATGGAAGTGCAATAGCAGGCGGTATGTTACTCTTGAAAATTCGGTCTCCAACCTGGGCAGTATCAGTACCTAGGCATACAGGGTCCGTTCCGGCTACAGTGCATAAGTAGGAGGTCTACGGAGTATTCTCAGTACGTAATAGTGATAGGCTGGGTTCAAGTCATGTATATTTCATCAGTTACATAACTTAACGTAATGTGTACCTCTGGGAGAATCATGTCTCAGTTAAAGATAGTGTTGGTCTTTCTGCAATCTTCTGCTTGTGACTGCAACCACAAACTCCACGCCCAAGGTTATCTGACATCGATTGTACTAATTTCTCATTGAAGTCTCGGTGTAGTTCACGAAGCCAATCGTTATACTTAAATTGGCAGGGGTTTTTATAACCCCATGAGTCAAGGAAGCTAGTACCAATGGCACAGAGCACCTGAGTTAGGACATCATTTGACTGGAAGATCTTCTCGAAGTCTTTGAATTCTTTTTTTGTCGCTGAATTTTGGTATTGGCTCTCGGGATCTCTAATGCCGCAGTCGTCATCTCTTTGAAGGGGTATAAAAGGGAGGAGCCCTCGGTGAGAACCGCATATCATGTGGAGAATGTCACCGCGATACTTAAGCTTGCTATAGCGGCTCCTTGGGCTCTCACCTGCGTACTGAGTGACGGCAGCTGATGAGACTCGTATAGATGTCGGCCCCTTAGTGAGTTCCACGGCTTCTGAAAAGTGCCAGGTTAAAAGACGTCGGAGGAGATTAGACTGCTGAGTAGCCCCAGTGCAAATGATTATGCCTTTATCTAAAGCCATCTTCTGAGTATTACCGGTAAGGGTTCTGTCAATAAGGGCGGCGCGGATGTTGGTAAATTGGCTATTATTATTAGACTGATAGAGTCTCCATACTTGTGAAATAGCACTATGGCCTCTCATAGCCATTGCCAGGCGAACGATTTTGGAACATGGGAGGTCTCCCTCTTGAAAGATAGGTATAAGGCAACTAGCTGGCGGGGCTTGTAGTTTCTTTATAACAGCGGCGCGACGAGCGTTCTCATCGTGTTCGGTGTGTTCCCAAATTGTATCTACTGTTTTAGACTGCTGGTGGCGCTTTCGTATGTGGCCCAGTTCTGGCTGAGTACTTGGTCGTTTGCAAGATCTTTTAGTGACCGCTTGGTTGGAATCAGAGCAGAGATTAGGCACGAGACCAACCAAGGGGTAAAAGTCGCAGTTCTCGCATAGCGTGGTTGGCTGCCCGGCTATCATTTCACCCGGCAGAAGAAAATTAACTGCAGCTGCCAGGCTGGTAGTCATGTTAATCACATAGTGATATTGATTCGGAGAGGTAACTACCATATCCCCCGGGCCAGCGCATATAAGGTTGAATTCGATGTTGGCCGCTTTAAGCATTGATGGTGGAAGAATAAGATTCAAACGCCTTAGCCATTGATCACTGTGGCCTGCATTCTCGCCCCAAAAGCGCCTCACCCACTCTTCAAATCTCTTCGTGTCTTGAGTGCTGATAATCATCCATAATCTATAGCCGTATATAACAACTTCCATAGATCTAAGATCACAGTCTTCCTTGTGAAAGGCTGTGCCGGCAAACTTGCCCCCTAGATACCAGTACGGAGTGGTGATGCCCTTAATGTCATTAGGAAGCTGAGACCTCAGTCCTTCCCCAGCATAAACAAAGTCGTTCCAGTTTGAACTGAGAGGCGGCCCTACGAGATAGGGCACTAATTCTTGAGGGGCATACAATGCTAATGACTCAAGGAAGAGAGTGTAGCTTTCGTCGGCCGGTCGCTGATCTGCGACTTCGCTAGGAGATGGAAGTTGGAATTCAGGAATCTCGTCAGCCACAAGCAATTTTGTAAAGTTGCCGAGATGTTGATCGTATGCTGCTTGGTACATGACTGCGCAGTAATGGTACTCATTTAGACCGTTATCTGGTAGGACAAGAGCATTCCATGATAGCCGAGGCAGGCTCTCAATGTGCACGAGGTTTCTAAAAGAGTCCTTGAAAATGATTTCCGTCAAATAATGCAAAATGCCACCACCACTGGCATCAGCACGTTGAATAATAAACTCGGTTTGGTATAAACAGGGTTGACTTATTCCCCCATTCGATGTCTGCGAGCTCCCTGGCGAAGACTGCGAGATACTTGATGCAGGTGTAGAGATTAATGGCCGCAGTGAATTGCCTTGTACTTGCGGCCATGATGCTGCTTGCTCAGCCAACAGAGTTGTAGCACTCTGTAATCCGCCTCCACGAACGGTCGAGGGATCGGTAGTGCATGTAGACAACTTCCCTGCTACTGAAGGGGCCTTTTGATGCGTTTCGTTTGTCGCTATAGCGATGCTTAGATTGTCGTCATTGGCAGATGCCACATCGAAAACAGAAGCACTCGTACTGGGAGTATTGGTGCTTATAATTGGATTTGGATCCCACAATCGCGTATCGCTAAGTATTGTGGGATCCGGGGCATCGACTGGAAACAGGGACTGCCGGAGTTGGGGTGTCCAGGATAAATTGTCGAGCCCTGGAGGAGTAGCTAAGTGGCTACTGGCGGCCCACGACTCCAGCCTCGATTGTACTATCTGCAAAGAGTACAAGAGAGAACCCGCTTCTCTGTCGTTGTCTGGTATGATAAAAGTCGCGAGTTCTTCCAAGTTGTTCATGGAGCAAATCAGCAACCGTAGAGAAGATGCATAGCTCTCAAGATTCTGTCTATTGAGATCCATTGTAGCTTGAACAGGTTTAGTACGACTGCTTGTGGTGACACCAGTGGCTCTGCCGGGATCCGATGGTTGCAGCTACCTCTTATACCAAGACAGAGAGTATAACAAAAACACTAAGTAACAGGGTTTCTTACCTAGTAAGTACCTTCATGGATCAATAGTAGTTATCTACACTCCCATATATATAGATATATATGCATGTATGTTTATATATGCATTTGTATGTATTTATGTTCTTTTTAATACGTATGACTTATGGCGATTCTCTTACGGCATCCTGCGAGCATTTCAATTCTTTCGCCTACTTGTATGCTTAGCTTAATGATTTATTGGATATATGTAACATGTACGTGTGAGAGGGGCTCTAGATAAACGCTGGGCGAATAAACTTGGTTTCTGTTATATCACAGCAAAGTCACGTATTCGTAAATGGCTCAGGACTGGTAGAATCATTAATTCGGACACGAGTATTGGCTTTCTCTCGATCATGTTATGGGATAAATTGCTTCAATATCCACTTTTACACAGAGTAAATAATATTGCCAAGTCTGCCTTTTAATCAACAGCCATACTAGGTTTATGTCTCTGCAACTCCGCTCCTTCTATAGACCAACACGTGTCAAGCCACAGTTGTATTATTGCTCCACATGAATGGACTCAGAATATGGTCCTTGTTCGCGACTCAATCTATTCTGTAATGGACCATCCTATAATGAGTTAGGCAGCAACACTGTGCCCTATGTGAGGGGAGGTGAGTGCAACCCCCACACTCGACCAGTCACAAAACCAGCCCTAGCACACCATCTCAGACGCAGTTGATCGAATTTTCGGTGAAGAGCCTTGTTGTATTATTTGTACTGGCATTTTAGCGTGATTTGTATTCTATACGATGTCGTCACTTAAAAGGCGTCGGAGAATTCCTCTCTTCATATAAACTATTTGGCGTGAAATGGGGTCTCAACGGGCGCAGGTTTCTTGAAATTTCTATGTGCGTTTTCTCTTCACCTAAAAAAACTAGAAGGAGTATTATAATGACAGTATAATTTTCCATATGACTCTTTCACAGTAAATGTGATGCAGAATTAAGATAGTTTATGAGTAGCGCATGGACAAGTCTGCTACTTCGCAGTTCAAAATGATCTGTTATTCTTGATGTTTGCAATTATTTATAACATCTGTGTTCCTTTGATGCTCAGCCGGCTTCTATTTAGTATAATACTTAAGTATGTTGGGTATATTATGCTGCTGTCTACATTGATTTATAATATAAGATGGCGTATTGTGCTTTGCTGGCTACAAGAATTTGTCCATATCATGCTTTAGTGTCCTATCTAACCGTCGTATGTTTAGCATTGTTTTTATTTAAATTAGGATCATTTATTAGACTTTGTCGCACACATGAATGCTAAGTAAATCTTAGTATAGACACCGTTGCTTCCTAAAGGTAATAGCACAGGTGGAAAGCTTTTTATAGAAGCTGAGTTCTTTGTGTTATAAGTACTAAAACTTCGACAAAAAAATAATCCCGAGCCCGTTAAATGTATAAATGCTAGAGTCCAATGCTTGTACTTTACGTTAGGCACCAGAAAGTGGGTTTGAACTGTTGCCATCATTATTAGGCCACGAAGCCTATATTAAAAACTCCCAATACCCCCACCCGCTTTACGATGAGGTATCCTTCATGTTGTCATGCACACCATAGTGGAGATATGATTTGTCCTATTGGATAATTCATTAGTCTAGGTAAGCTATGAGGCAGTTGTAAGGCGTCCCAGATGGCAAAAGTAGTCTTAGGCCTCAAGCTATCATCCCAGTTGAGTTCCGCGTAGCACAACTCAGAGCAAATTTAAATATAAATATCCCCTCGAAATGAAACTGAACTTCCGAATCCTCTTGTCCACCAACCACTTTTCTCTTATCCCCTTTTTTGTTTCCATTGTATTGCGCCATCAAACGCTACTACCATGACGAGCTCTTCTCAAGACAGTGGTGGCCCTCAGAAGTGGGCACTTCTAATTGGAATCAACTATTACATTCCCGGAAACACCCGCCATCCGGTTTACGTAACTCCCCTCACTGGTTGTGTAAATGATGTGGAAGTAGCAGAGAATTACCTTTTTAAGCATCAACATATGGAACGCCAACGCATTCAGAAGCTCACCGCATCATTTCCTTCCACCAACGACTCTTCTCTTCCGGCTGAGCCGCCGGAAAATTGGCCTACCTATGAAAACATCAAACAAATTTTCGAGAGAGTCACAAAGGAAGCGAATACAGACGACATCATCTATATCCACTATAGTGGTCACGGCGGAAGAGTTGTTACCATTGGTCCTAATACCGTGAATAATGAGCCTAATCTCGTCAACCGACTCAGAATTGACGAGGCCCTAGTTTCTGTTGATTTCAACACGGGTGGCAGATACTTCAGGGATATCGAGCTTGCTTGCGTACTTAAAAAGATGACTGAAAAAGGTCTCCATGTGACGTTGTCTTTGACACCTGCCACTCGGGAGGTATGGGAACAAGCGCTGTCGAAGAGTCGCCTAAGTCAAAGGTTCGGCCAATCCAAGGCAACAGTGCCGACAGCAAGTCAAGGGTTCGATCAGTCCAAGGCGTCAGTGCTGACGGCATAGATTGGACAAGGCTTGAAACCGATATATCGGATTTTCCAGAACATGAACTTGCACACGCAACTCAATTTCACATTGGGAAGCGACCTAGCAACTCAGCAACAGAGCGGTCACCGCAAGATTGGGTGATCGCAGCAGCATGCCAACCACACGAAGTAACCGGGGAAAGATTACTGGCCATCGGTGGATTGGAACCGAAAACCATTGGATATTTAACGTACGGGTGGTACGACAGCCTCCTAAATGCTACCGCAAATATATCGTACGATGCACTTTTCCGCCGAACACAAGATATGATGCGACAAATAGGAGTCAGTAATTCTCCGGTGATCATGGGAAATATTCGGCGGCAAATGTTTATCAATACTGCCACTGAGGTCACTCACACTATCCCTATATCAAGTCTTGGCGACCGTCGAGTTATTTTGTGGAGCGGTAGAGCACATGGAGTCTGTGAAGGCGACATCTATAAAATTTACTCTTGGGATACAAGCCATATCGGACTTTCCAGCCCTCATCTAGCAATCGCTGAGGTTAAAGTCCTTCGACCCACTGAAGCGGAAGCTGACCTTCGAATGAAGGTAGGAAAGAAAGCTCTGGCTGTAGGTTGTCATGCCATCCTTCTACACCGAAATTTTCCAAGAGTGACTCTTCAGTTGGTGGTGATATTGGCACCAGATGCGACTGAGACACAGAAGTCGAAAATTGAACGACTGAAAGCTTATGATTTGTCAAAAGTTGAATTGACTGCGAAGGTTGTGCTTGGGAGTACGAGGCAAAATCCTGAGCGCGATGATAAGAGAATCTATCACTTCGACCTCTTAGTGAACTCTAATGGCCAGTATTTGCTTCTTGAGTCAGGAAAAGAATCGAAAACGCCACTCCCACCCTCATCTTCACCTGAATTATTGTTTGAGCTCCTCAACAACATAGGACTTTACTATCACTACCAGACACTCCAATGCCCTAACCCAAATCCGAAGATTTTCGATTTTCAGCCATCTTCGACACAACCAGACAGTCAGTTCATTGGTATCTAAGCACCCTATAATATTCGTTAACGAGAAAGTAGAATCCTGGGACTACTCTGATGGACAGCCAATCGATATGAATAATGGAAGTACATTCGACGTAACCTTGGAAAACTGGACACATAAATTCTTGTACATTTCAATCTTTCGTTTTTCATCGTCTTGGGGTATTTCTCGGGTTCACCCTCCTCCCGGACTCGGTGACTACGAGGAAGTAGATTGGGGTCACAAGCGTCAGCGAAGCATCACGCTATCGTTCCCAAAATCTGCTTCTGGACAAAAATATGTGGTCGAAACGATCAAGATTTTCGTCACTACCCAACCCACCTCTTTCCGGGCTATGGAGGGTGTTTCGGACGTTGATTCTACCTCTAAAGTCAATGAAACATTCTCAGGAGAAGACAGTTATCAGCAGCTTCACAATACTCTCCACACCTTTGACAGCCCCCACACGCAAGCTCATAAAATTAAGGAGCTTGCTAACAGACCACGTTTTGATACAGTGGGCAATCATTTGGATTCTACTACATTAAAGACTTCGAAATCACGGCCCTCGAAACCACGGCCCAAAATGGCCAAAATGGCAAGAGTAAACAATAGCAGCGGTACAAGAGAAGTTTGGCAAACAAAAGATATTACAGTTCATGTGTACCCCTAACTAGAAGGTAACTACCTTCACGCAGCGGGTGGGTTTTAAATCAGTCTCAGCCATTTAGTCAGCATTATGATGAGGGTACAGATTTCTGGTAAGGGCTCTAGCCATGGGTTTTGACTCTGGGTTAGTGCTTGTAATAGTAACCGGTACAGAGACCAATGACTGCCTCCTAGGTAGTAGTTTAAGCTAAACTGTTGACTACTGACCAAGATTTATTTGGATAGAGGGATTTGACTGGCCTCGTGACAGGTCCTCAGCTAAACTTGGTGACCAAGCCGGATAGAACCGGACACTTGATATAAAAGAGGAATGCTTCCTCAAGTAGATGGAAGACAGTTATCTTAACAAAAATGTCTCCTATCAATGTCAGCGGCCTCGTTCCAACGAGAACAAGGCCGTGGCAGCTAGATCAAATTGTTTCATGATCTTGTTCTCGCGCCGTGGTCCAAGTCGCGGCTAGACGAGCTAGGTTTCGTGTGTTGTGTTGCTCAACTGGTGGAAGTTCTAAGATGCGTTTCCTAACTGTCAACAACGTCACAAGAAACTTGAGCTAAATTGTGAATTACCAATAGAAATTTATATAGATCATAGTTTGTAGGAGAGATGGCTTTAATATACTAACGCCCCTCTCTAGAGCGCTTCAAGACATCAATCTATGCTGTTGAGTCTCGGCAAGTTGGGAAAAGCGATCAAAATAACTCACTTGAGTTTGGCCAATTTTGTGCCGACAGGGTCCAAAGCGTCGATAGTGTTGGTTATTGTTGAGCGACTGAAACGCACCAAGTCTTGAGCTTTATGCGTAGAAATAACTGAGGCTGCGTGGCTACGACCTCTGTTCCCATCAGGCTGAGATAGCATGTCGTGAAACTATCAATGATGCAAGAATTTTGTCTGTCTCTTTGTGGCTAAGACTTTTCTTTAAATATTCTTTTGACAGGATCTTAGTACGGATGCTAGTACTATCACTATTGACAAAATAGATGAATCGGCAGTTGGTGGCTTGCCGACCAACACCAGACATCTCATTCAATGCCCGTGCTCTCTTTACCCAGTTATCCCTCTGCCTGGCGTGAAACTAGCAAAATTGAAACCAGTTAAAAGCACCTTTGATCCTTTTTAGTATGAGGCAAATAACTTGTCTCACTAATTTGTTAGTTGCCCACATCTTTCAGAGTCGGATGAAGCCATTCAGAAGTTCAATGGCCAGAAACAGTACTGCACCACCAATAAGTTCCATTTCATTTTCAATCCTACACCAAATGTGGTTGAGAGATTATGAGAAATCTCAATAAATATCCAGGGCCTATGCAGCCTCTTGGGCGGAGGTTCTGGTTGGCGTTCTGGGCAATTGCGGTCAGTAACTTGGCTGCATCATTTGATGCGACCATGCTGTCAGTTGCGCTGCCAGTAAGTTTTATATCCTCATCAAACTCATTCTTAAAAAGACGCTTATAATTTCTCCAGACCATATCTTCAGATCTTGGAGGCTCTTCTACAGAGGCCTTCTGGGCAGGAACCTCGTACCTCCTCGCATCCACAGTCTTGATGCTCATCTGGGGAATTTTAAGCGATGCTTTTGGCCGACGAATGATCATTCTTGCAGCTCTTCTAGTATTTGCTCTTGGCACAATCCTCTGTGGTGTTGCACATTCTTGGACGATGATGCTAGCCGGTCGTACTATACAAGGCATCGGCGGAGGAGGCATCGTCTCGCTCACAACGATGCTCGTCACGGACATGGCGCCGCTACGAGAACGTGCACGCCTATATGCTCTTATCGCCTGCATTTGGACTGTCGGAACTGCAACAGGGCCAATTATCGGTGGAAGCCTGTCCAAGGCGAATACATGGAGATGGATTTTCTGGATTAACCTCCCCATCATCACCATCAGCTTCGTCGGTATTGCTTTCTTCTTACGGCTCTCACAGAAATCCAGAAGTCTCTCTGAAAAGTTGCGTCTGTTTGACTATCCTGGCTCGCTGCTATTCATTGCCTCAACGACTACGTTCCTGATACCAGTCACTTGGGGCGGCACCCAGTATCCTTGGTCGGGTTGGCAAACCCTTGTCCCTCTGATCCTTGGCGTTCTAGGCGTTATCCTATTCTCCATGTATGAATTTAGGATTTATTCAACCAAGCTGCCGCAAGCTCGTCTCATTCCCTCATCTATCTTTGCCAATCGATCAGCCTGCATCGGCTACGTATCGAGTACTGTGCATGGCATGGTTGTATACAGTTTACTATACTACATGGCAGAGTACTTCCAAACCGTCAAGATGTACAGCCCCGTCATTGCCGGCGTCGCAAGCCTCCCTCAAAGTTTAACAGCTGCTCCATGTGCGGTTGTTGTCGGCATCATAGTCGCCGGGACTGGAAAGTACAGGTGGGCATTGTGGGCTGGTTGGTCTCTCGTTTGCTTGGGATGCGGACTTCTTGTTCTCTTGGATACACACACAGCGGTTGTAGAATGGATATTCCTGGGTGCAGTTTCTGGGCTGGGCCTTGGTCTCTTGTTTCCCTCCATTAACCTCTCCATTCAGGCCTCTGTGCCTCAGCAGGAGGCTGGAATTGCCGCGACATTGGTCCTTTTCTTTCGTTCGCTGGGTCAAGCACTGGGAGTTGCCATTGGCGGTACTATATTCGACAACCAACTTCGAATCAATCTCGAAAACCGCATCGAAAACGCACCATCAAGCATCATGGAATTGATTGACAGGCTTCATCAGCTGCCACCAGATGATCCAATATCTTTGAAGATTCGGAATGCGTTGTCAAGGTCATTTCACGTAATCTGGATTGTCATGTGCGCCTTTGCAGGGCTGAGCCTCCTCTTGAGTTTCTTGATGAAGGAGTATGATATGAACCAAGAGCATCAATCAGATCAGGTATTTCTGCTCAAAGACATGGGTGGTCCAAGGCCAGAAACGCCCGCAGAACAGTTGAGTCGTGTGTAAAGGGGCCACCCAGCTTCTACATGTAATATTCCAAGCCTTAGTTTGCATCAGAGTTCAGATAGAAGCAGTTTCATGATATCTTCATTTTCATTACTCAAAGCTTGGGTGCCGGAGATTTCCAAGCTTCTGGGTCATCCCAATATGAGGCAATCGTTTTCCAATACTCAAAACGGTGATCCCGCACCAAAGCACAATGTGGACTACCATCAAACGCAACCCCTTCGGCCTGAAGGCTTTGCCGCGTCCTCGCCTCTTCAATGTGAGCTTCCACATCTTCCCATCTCACTACCTGATCTGCTTTCGAATACAGGTAAAGTCTTCTTGCCGTTCCCAATACAGCTGGATCGTTTAAGTGAGCCCTCAAATGCTTCACTGATCTCATTAAGCCTGCGTTTTGAAGGCCGTTGATTATCGCTATAGTTGGATACAGCAGTGCTTGACCCACGATGCGAGCAGGAAAGGTATTCGGCAGAGAATAAGCTGCCGCCTTGTACGCATTCTCGAATGAAGCATCTCCCGGACAACAATCCAAGATGAATAATCTCACATGTTTGGAAAGATTTACATCGCTGCGCTGGTCGTATAAACTGAGAGCCATCTGTATAGCACTGTTGCATCCACCATGCGAGAAGATGTGCCACAGAATCGAAGGCCGTTCTGTCTCTGCCTCGATATACCGAATCACGATATTTCGAGCTGGGGCAAGTCGAGCATGCAATACACTAAATGGAAGAGCAGCAATCTCGAGAAACCGGGCAGTGATGAGCAAGATTGATGAGCCGGGATATAAAGATGAGTATCCATCGAGGTATTTCTTGATGTGATTCGGCGTTGCACCACCCAGCCAGGTACACAGAATAATGAGCCGCGGGCAGTGTTTGGCTCTTATTGCTGGATCTGCGTGTCGATATATGTAGTAAATGTCTTGTCCTATTGCCTCAAGAGGCCAGAAGACTGTCGAGGAAGACATTTGAAAAGCAAGTGCTCATGAGGTGTAAGATGTCATAGGCTCGATATACTTCATTCTGACGGCGAAACACGGTGAAAGAGTTAAGATAGCCTCTAAACCAACGATTTAAAGGGTATTTAGCTGTTGGGAGAATGTGCTGGGATACGCGCATCCTTCAACATTTTGTTGGGTCTACCTAGTAGTCTTGGACTGTTAGAGAGACTCCACCTTCACAAATGCAGCATACACATGTACTCACCTCTTATTATAATTCCTGAGAGGATAATCTAAACATTGTGTATTGGCTCTCTCTCAGGTGACTTATAATTGCTTGGTTATAATGTCCAGGTGTCGATAATAGCATTAGGCCCAGTCTGCATGAGCTCATGCTTGGCATTACCCTTTCCTCCAAGCATGTGGCACGTCAATCTAGTCAACACAATGAAAATATGTTAAACAAGAAATATTGCCATCATGTGCGATAGTATATGTGGCAACTCTTGATTATTGTGCAGAGCTTGCTCAGATGAAGTGTAAGCATATTTTAACAAAGGGTGTTCTTAAATCGTCCCTCAGACCGCATTCAGTACTCATGCAAGCGATATCCGACGTGCGCCAGGGAGCTAACTTTTGCCACTGCTATTTTTTAAAACCGGATAATGATCGATGGACGTTATTTAAGCCTAAGACACGGCCCCATGCTACATGCTTAGCGTATCCTCCTAACGATGGGGACTTGATCAGTTCTCAACATTCTGGGTCTTTAGAGTTCACAGGGCACAACGCTCCCAGATTCATCGATAATCTTTCACTCCAAGGAGATCCAGGAGCCCGGATTCTTTTCCGGTCTTTAAATGAAAGCGTAACCGCTCTCGTCACACACAATTTTGGACGTGTGACATTGTGAGATTGATTTCCCGATTTTCCTGCAGTTAATAAAGAACAAAAAGAAGGAAGGAAAGGTCCGTCTTGCGAATCACTCATCATAATTACGCAAAATCCGACTCTGAAAAGCATCGGTCTCTTTGATGAGAATTTCTTCAACGGCAGCTGGCATTCTGCAAATACGGTTCAGCTGAAATGAGACCAGATCTGCCATCGAGTGGAGATGGAGACTATTCAAGGATGTGAGCCTGCAAGGGGGGCAGATGCATTGCTAGGCCCCGGCAATTCGTCAAAGTGGCTCCCTCGATTCCTTCGAAAGGCTGGGCGCCAATAAAGACGTGGAAATAAAGTCACCACATCTGGGCACCGACGTGGCTGCTGTAGTGCTACTGATCAAGTGTTTGTCTTCGGGGGTAACCATTATGCTCTGTCTCTTAGTGCTGCTGAGGCCGTCTCATGGGGTGTGCTGAAAGAATACAAGTGCCGCTACCGTGATGGAGAATGGGCGTCAAATGCGGCGATATCTTTGTCCTACCCACCTCGATCCTCCTGGAGCTCGAATCAATCATTCGGCGGTGAGTGGACTGCTCAATGGATGGATGGGGTGGTGAGTCGGCGTCCCTGGAGTCTTGTTTCTGTTCACACTTGAAATGCAAGGGTTACTGTTGTGCTGGATTAAAAATCATGTAAAGCAGGCAGCCTCGGCCATTTAGTTCGCGAAAGACGAAGATGGCAACCAATTTTTACGATGCTCAAACGTCGTCATGGGTTGGCATATGCATGGCGTTGCTGCTTTGGTTAGGACGATTTGCGTTTCCCATGGCATTTTCGCATCCTGCTGACAATGGAGGATCGTCTTGGACGAAAGCAGCTTCCACCAGCTCGGATATGCAGAGACAAGGGTCCATGTTCTCCAAATTTACGAGTGTCTGTAAAAGTAAAGAAAACGGTGCGCAATGCAGTGTCAATGCAATCGTGGTCCCTTTCCCGAGGTGGCAGCTGGGGGGCAAGAAACCCACCAAACCGTGCAGACACACAGCCAGCCAGCCACTCGGGTCTTTCGCCGTGTGGCCGCACAAGTTCCCTCTCTGTCACCGTCGCTGTCGCTGTCGCTTGACGAAGCATCGGGCATTGCTGCCTTACTTTGACAGGAGGTTCAAGCATGCAGAGTGTGATAGAGACGCGCTGTCCAGAACCTCTCTATTCATGCACCCGGCGTTGGGTAAGTTGTCAGCCCCGTCACCACTAAGAAGAACTGAATGGACGCCGAGATTGCGGTTGCCGCCCGCAGACCAGCCGGTGAGTCCGAATGTGAGACACTAATAAATAGCCCTTGTAGAAGTGCCTACGGAGTAGTGGTGGTGTGTGAAGCTGTTGTCGAATAGGAGAGAACTGGTGGCTCAATAATGTAGGTGCTCGCACCGCAGAAAAAGCATCTCAGCCGGTAGCAGCTCCCGCTGGTAGCACTCACGTCTACGGATATGTATGATTAAATCAGGAGGATATGTCTTCGCTCGTCAATTGACAACGATAGCAGCATTACGATTCTCAATGTACCGGCAGTACTCGTATACACCAGAAATTGGTCTCAGGAGACTGGGCAGTCTACTGGGCTACCTCTGCTTTGCTTCTGCTTGGTGGTGTTGGCAGATGGATCCAGCGCCCCTCTCACCCCACATGGCCATAATTTGCGGGAATGGGGAGCAAAACAATCAGCATCGTCTGCTAGACCGTTAGACGTGGCTCACAGTGAAAGGCTCAGAAGCAACTGATAAGTGGTGCGCCGAGACGGACTCACCATAGCCCAAGCCTTGTCCCTTCACGTGGCATCAATACATTGACTTGGGTGCTTTTTCCTTACTGAATGGGGATGTAGACATCATCTTACCTGTGCACCTGCCGCTCTGACGCCGCCTATCAGGCACGGCCTGAGAGGCCTTGCATATGCAGGCAAGCCGACAAAAGTATGGAGCAGAGATCTTGATGTCACATCCGACACGTTTGGGCGGCTCCGAGTGGATGGGCCACCTCTGGCGATGCTGTCTTGGTCTGTAACAGGACTCCGTATTTATGCCGGCGAAGCGCAACCCGTCAGCTGTTGCATTTCTGGCTGTGAGGATGATGGACAGGACCATGGCGAGAGGGTTTCGGGCCGTAACGGTGGCTGCACGTCATTGCTTCGTGGCCGTCATTACACGTCTTTTGACGGACGCCTTTCCCTTCATCGCATCATATCAGTGCCATGTCTCCAGGGCCACCTCGTTTCGCCGCCAACTGCTTGATAAAAGGACGGTTTCGTTCACCTGGACAGGGGTGTCCTTGGTCCTTGTTATAGCCTTGGAGCTCCTCACAGACCGCCCGGTGGTCTCATGGACCATTGATGTGCTAAGGCAGTCTAACCTGAGCTAGAGCGGTAGGCTTTTTGTAATAGCGGCCGCAACGGTTTAGAGTTTCGAGGGCTGTTCACGATGGCACACGGCTGTCAGTTGTGCTTTTCCTTTGCTGGAATTGTCTTAGCAAGTTGATGGTGGTTGCTTGGATGTCGAAGAAGCAGATGCTCTAAAGATGAGTACCATTTGATGGCAGCTTGATGCCTGAGGATCTATATTGCAGTACCTCCTTCATTGTACCTGGAACCGCAGTACAGTACAGGTACAAGAGTCGATGGTCTCAACGTTATCTGCACGTGTCCAGGCCAGGCACTCGATGCATTTTGTAATGACAGGGATTGGGGGAAAAAAGCTCCAGCCTAATGTCAACCTAACTTAAATGACAAAGCGGCAACAAACTCAATGGCAATAAGCATCAATGCAACAATGCAATGCTCATACTCTTGACTCAGTGGTTCACAAATAGAAACATCAAATTTGATGTCCACTTAATGTTGCATCAACTAAACAAGGAAGCCTCCACTGTACGACGGCACCTACAAAGAAACCCCCGAGCACCTTGGTAGGCAGGCAAGGCAGGTAGGCACCCTGGTGGACAGCAGGTACGGCACGGTACCTGTAAACACATGTAAACACACCAGGCGAAACGTGCATATCAGGAGCAAGGCCCAAGTACATGTACCCCATGCCGGGTGCATTAGATGGCGACAGGGGTGCGAGGCCATTGCGTCGTACTGCCCGAGCTCAAAGAGCTTCATCAGGTACAGGTACAAGAGAACAAAGCACAGGCAGCCCCGAGCTTCGAGCAGAGCTGCAGCTTCATTCATTTCTCCGCGCCAGATCCGGATGCCGGTGCGGTGGACAGGGGCAGAAACGAAAGGGAAAAGGAAAAAATGGAAACCTGGAAAATAAACAAAGCTCACCTCACCAAACCATAGCAAACGACAGAGAACAGAGGCTGGATGTCGTCCATGTTCAGCCGTCAGGGCTGCGTTCAAAGAGGCAGGTCAAGCTATAAGAATCAGCTTCTGGCTGGGTCCATTCGTCTTTTCCTGCCCGGCATCTCCATCGTTGTTTTCGCATTCGATCTCATTGCTTTTCCGGCATCGCCTCCTGCATCACCAATTGCTCTAGCAAGCTCGCCTGGCAGATTCCTGCCTCAGCTCCGTCCTCGTTTTCAGCTCGAACTAAAGCAACGCGCTTTCTGCCATTGTTGAGCCTCGTTTCTGTTTCCATTTCTTCTTCGTCTTCTTAGTTCTTGCCTCAATCTCGCTGGTTGCACCTTGCAACGGCACACGCCATACACCATCACGTCCGCCGCTGCATCTCCTCGTTCAGGTCAAAATCCCAGCTCTTGTCTTCCGGCACTTACTTCGCCTCATACTATACTCGCACGCTACTGCAGGTAGCCCTTCTGGCCGGATCTTTGCTGTTAGCCAAGCTTTGCTTCTCTCCCTTTCCAGCCAAATCCAGCTTTTCCGTCTTGTCACGGCTGTTCCAACAGCATCTGGAAGACACAGGATCCCTGTCTTTCTCACGCCTGTTTATCCCAAACTCGGCCCTCCAATCTCGACTTTGGCCCTGATCTACGTCCCACCCACGATCTACATCTCCGACAGCGCTAGGCCGTTTCCATCCGTCAAGGGTTCCAGCATCTAGCTCTTGGCCCAAGATGGCCGTTGTTACTGGTGAGGGCGCAGTCCTAGTAGCTCTCAAGTACTTGTATCCGGCTGTTGTCTTTCTCTACTACTTGACCTCGTCTGTCTTGGCCTCTTGCACTCTGCAGGCTCTTAAGAAGACTCAGGATGCGCAGCCGGAGCGTCCTAGTCGACGGGCCGTCATCTATTTACTTGGATTCTTCCTTTCGACGTACGGGGCCCAGCTCATCACACTCGGCACGCAGTCAGTAATCCAAAGGTCTGCCCCCCTGGAACATCAGGTCATCAACTACTTGTCGTGCATTCTCGTCTTCGGTATTCTGTGCATCCAACTCATCGAATCGGACACAGTTGTATGGTTTCCATTCCGTGGGTCATGGTTTATCGCGCTGCTCTTTGAGCTTGCCATTGCAATCTTGACGGCCGTCAATTCAAGACAAGCTAACCTCAACTCCTATGATATAATCCATATAACCTTCTTCTGCTTGAGGCTTGCTTCACTCATCATTCTAGTGGCTTGGACTTACTTTGCTTTATGGACCAACTCCAACCCTTCTCTGTTCGACGAGGAAACACAGCCACTTCTGCAACCTAATGGTGAACAACCTGATGCTCAGGCAGCCACTGGAGAGCATGCCAATAGCTCCAGTTATGGGTCGACAACGCAAAGCGACGCTGAGGAGACCCATTGGGAAAGAAGAGAGAGAGAAGGTAAAGCCGAATTGGAGAAGAGACTTCAGAAAGACGGGAACTGGGTTGAATACGCCAAAGGCTTCAAGGTATGTAAATCCTATCTAAATTTTTGACAGCCCAGATATGCAGCCGCTACGTCTTTGCTCATACGATATTGACCCTACAATCTGAATTGCTCATCACAAGACTCCTCCCCCGGGGGCTCGAGACCACTGAATAATTTTAAATCAGCTTCAGCTGACATGATTCCCTGCTTTAGATTTTATTCCCGTATATTTGGCCTGTAGGAAACCGCCATCTACAGCTACGAGCGGCGGCCGTTGTGCTCTGCATGTTTGCTTCGAACGCACTCAATGTGCTTATTCCCCGACAGACGGGCATAATCATGGACACTCTTAATGGGAAACCCGGTAATCCATGGACAGCCGTCATCAATCTTGCACTTCTACGACTGCTGGCTTCAGGTTCTGGTGTCGAGCTTATCCGCCAGTGGTTGTGGCTACCTGTCAAACACTTCTCACGGGAGAACTTGTCCCGAGCCTCTTTTTCTCATGTGATGAAGCTGTCTGCTGATTTCCACGACTCCAAAAACTCATCAGACATGATGGTGGCTATGCAGGGCGGATACTCTATCACAAACGCAGTTGAAAGTCTTTTGTTTCAAACCATCCCAATGTTGATCGACATGTGCGTCGCCATCGCCTACCTCTCCATCAAATTCGGGCCATACGAAGGCTTAATAACTGTGGCTACCGGGATCGTTTTTATAACTCTTGCGGCCCGCCTCGTAGCTGGTACCAAAAATAGCACTCGCAAACGCCAAAAGGCTTTCACCAAAGAGCATGCCATTCGTTACGGCGGGTTGAGTTCGTGGCAGACCGTCAACATGTTTAACCAGGTCGGTTACGAGGACAACAGGCATGCTAATGCAGTAACGGCTCGATGGCTTTCTGAGACACAATGGCAAATTGCATGGCTCTTGTCCACTTCGTTGCAGACCATCATTCTCACTGTCGGCCTCATGGCAAGTGCATTCCTCGCTGTCTTTCGCATTCGCAGTGGGGAAGCATCACCGGGCCAGTTTGCAATGCTTCTCATGTATTGGACTCAGCTCACTGCACCACTGCAATTTTTTGCCTCACTTAGTAAGAACATGAGCGATGACTTCATTAGCGCGGAACGTCTCCTGGCTCTTATGAAGATCAAGCCTTCGGTTGCGAACAAACAGGGCGCACGGCCTCTCAAGTTTAAACGAGGAGATGTTCACTTGGATCAAGTTTGCTTCAGTTACGATAAGCGGAGGAGTATCCTCAACGGCATCAGTCTACACGTTCCGGCAGGAACAACAGTGGCCTTTGTGGGCTCAACTGGAGCGGGTAAATCGACGCTGCTCAGACTCCTCCAGAGGGACTACGATGTCACCTCGGGCAGCATCCGGATCGACGGTCAAGATCTTCGCGATGTTGATAGCTCCAGGTAAGTCTTTGATTCAAAGGTATTGGTTGCGGTGCTCCTGCAACAGCGCTGACTCGTTTTCTCTAGCCTACGTGATCGCATTGGCTACGTTCCCCAAAGTGCACTTGTTTTTAATGACACCATCATGAACAACGTTCGCTATAGCAGAATCACCGCATCGGACGAGGAGGTGTTTGAAGCATGCAGAGCCGCTCGTGTTCATGATAAGATCTTGGATTTTCCGGATGGTACGTAATACGACGATGAGTCTCGCCGCGGTACCATGTGTTTGCTAACCTTGTGCGTGACTAGGCTACGAAACGGAGGTTGGCGAACATGGAGTGTAAGTTTGCCGTTATGGTATCCCTATTAGACTTTTGAGCTAACGATGGCAGCAAACTTTCCGGTGGAGAGCTTCAACGTCTAGCAATTGCCAGGGCGCTTCTGAAAGACCCTAAGATTGTTCTTTTGGACGAGGCTACAGCCGCTGTTGATAATGCTACTGAAAGAGATATCCAGAAATCATTAAGGGTCCTCTGCAAAGGACGCACAACATTCGTCGTGGCGTAGGTTTCCTCTTATTCCCCCCAAGTCTATAATAGTTCCTAACCAATCATTTGGTGCTCAGTCATCGACTTTCTACCATCAGAGGAGCGGGCATCATTGCTGTTGTGGAACACGGTCAGATCATCGAGACAGGTACTCATGATGAGCTGATTGCTTTGGGCGGTCGATACTTTGAACTGGCGAGAGGCGACACATTCCGGGAAATCGAGGACAGCGATGACCAGGCCAAGGTGCTCGACGACGCAAATACTCTTGCCAACGATTCTTGCTCCGAGAGAACCACCACTGAGACGTGCAAGACACACGACGAAAATGATCAGGCCAAAGTACCGCCAGAAAGCGATGGCAAATCAGCAACAGGCAAGAGGTGTCAGAAGGAGGTAGATTCTGACATAAATTCGAGTGCTGCAGAGAATACTGACGGATCCTGTTAGGGGTCCCGATTGAATCCTGTGGCCCCTGAATTTACACCTCGGTCAATGGCGGCAACAGCGGCGAATTCTGGACCCAAGACGGCATCTGAAGGTAAGCCAACTACATCTTCAGCCATTGGCAACACAGGGACATGGGCAGTCACCGGCCACCCTAGTAAACTTCGATGGTCCGATGAAGTGTCCATTATGGACGACCGCGGGACGAGCAGTACGCCCAAGAGCCTCTCTACTGAGTCAAGCCGCCGCCTCAGGGCGAAAGATAGTTCTGAGAGCAGTTTCACCGCATCAGAGCTCCGCGCGTCGGAAGCTATGCCCGCAGCGATTGGTATCCAAAATCCAGGCATCACACCACTCCCAATGGGCGGAAAAGCCAAAACAAATACCATCGAGGCTTCCGGACGAGCTGCGCTGCCCTCACTGGCACGGGGTTCCCCCGAGTCCATCGTAGAGACAACGGCTGTCCCTTCTGATATTGGCAATGTGGTTTTCATGCGACCGCGCTACTCCCGTCGCATCCAGTCAAAGAGCGAGCCTGTTCACAAGTCTCCAAAGTCAGAATCTGGTAAATGCAACGAGCCACCTGCAAAATCAACAAACGCCAATACCGTACGTGCATCATTAAGTTTTCAATGGTGGAAGCATATACGTGACTAACTCATCGGATAGGAGCAACGTCGTGTGTCTACGCAAACGGCTCAAAGCAACAGTCCAGCACCTTCCATGATTCCTAAGCCTGGCAACAGAGGCTCGCCCACTGTGAGACAGCTTCCAATTCCTCCACGGCACTCGAGTGACGGGAAATGCGGCACGTATCCAACTCCAGCGCCCAAAGACAACTCCGGGCGAGCATCAGAAGGAATTCTCTCCGTTACAAAAGATAAAGAAACGGCAAGTGTTGCAGCAACCAGCACTGCCAAAAACGAAAACCACCCGCTGCCAAAGACGGGAGAAAATCAGTCAATTATGACAACCTCCAGCCGAGGCGGTCGAACCATCCGACGCCCACGAGCAGGATCCCTTCGCGGACGCCGAGGCCGCATTTTCCGAGGCCCTGTGGCACTTGGGAGCCAAGAATAGAATGCGGGGGATGAAATCAAAAACAAAAAAAAATTGCCTTGAGTTGACTTGGTGTTTTCTGACGCAATACCATTTTGGTTTGTATAGATATAATCATATGAATACTTGTTTAGCATACCTAGACAAGTTTTTACGACGTACATGTGTTATGGGGAGGTCTTGTGCGAATAGGATGAAACAGGGGGAGGCTCAATGAAGCCTGATACTTGGAGACAAAAGTTATGAGAGAGGAAGCGTCAAGGAGACGCCAGAATACCACTGCAGCTTCATACATGTATATACTAGCGGTTGACTCGGGGGCACCTTGTTTCGGTGCAGGTATAGCTAGAAACAGTGCGAGCATAATTATAACGGAAATCGAGTGCTTCGTTTACAGCTCTCTCTATTTACAATCATTAACCACGCTTTGTGGTCATTTGCGCCTGTTACTCAGTCATATCTAATATGAAGACGTAGGCCCCATTCTCTCTGGTTTTTTTCACTTCTTCTTTTGAAAGCCCATAACCGTGATACCACATCGGCACACCTCTTTGCAACTGCTGTTCCGTCTCTTGGGATGTTTCGTGCTCCTCCATACAAACTCAAGGAGTCGCTTTACCGTCCTGCACCGCCAGAGCCGGGAGCGCCTGGGGCGCCTCCGTTACCGCCCATCATATTCCGTGCCCTGTGAGAATTTATATGATTAGAATATGCTCATTTTTCTGGTGGATATAATGGATAAAAAAGACTTACATCTCGGCAATGTTGGGGTCGGACATTAGAGAGCCGAGGTCGGGCATGCCGCCTCCGCTGCTGAACTGGTTGGCCATGTCGCGCAGGCGCGGGTTGCTCATGAGGTTGTTCATCAGGTCGGGGTTGCTCATGAGGCTCTGGGCCATGTTGGCGAACATGGGGTTGCTCATGATGGAGCTGAGGTCGGGCATGCCACCGCCACCGGCGCCGCCGCCGCCGAACATGGAGGCGAGGTTGCTGAGGTCGGGCATGCCGCCGGCTCCAGCGCCGGGCGCGGCGCGGGAGAGGTTGTCCTGGGCCTGGTCGGCCTCGAGCTCGTCGACGCGGCGCTTGGCGGTCTCGAAGCCCTTCTTCATGGCCTCGGAGCCGCCGTTGCCCTCGTACTCGATGCCCTGGCGGTATGCCTCCATGGCGCCCTTGGGGTCGCCGAGGGCGAAGCGGGCGAGGCCCAGGCGGGACCAGGCCTTTGTGTACGAGGGGTCGATGGCGACGGCGGCTTCGGCGTCGATGCGGGCGGAGGCGTGGTCCTTTGCGGCGGAGTGGGCGGCGGCGCGGTTGGACAGGAAGACGGCGTTGGAAGGGTGAAGGCCGAGGGCCTGGGTGTAGAGATCGATGGCGCCTGCGTAGTCCTTCTGGGCCATGGCGGCGTTGCCCTTTGACTTGAGGGACTCGGCCTCCTTCTTCTGGGCTTCGGTGGGTTCAGGGACGGAGGAAGAAGAAGATGATGATGCGGCGGCGGCGGGGGAAGCGGCCGGGCTGGCGGCCTTGTCCTTGGCCTGGAGCTTCTCGTAGACGGCGAAGACGTCGAGCAGCTTCTGGGGGCCAATGGCGGCCTTTACGGCGGCGTCGTCGCTGGGGTCGACCTTGAAGGACTCGGCGATGCAGTTGATGGCCACGTCGATGGAGTCCTTGTCCTCGGCGGTGAGGGTGCCGTCCGTCGTTGACGTGGTCAGGAAGTCGCAGATGGCGAGCGCGAGGCGCTGCTTGGGAGTCTGTTGGGCGGCCTATATTTTCAGAGAGAGATTTGGTCAGCACGTTTTCTGACGCATCATGACTGGAGAGATTCTTCTTCTGTGTTGTTTTCATAGCAAGTGTTTTTTCCTTCTCGATTTGCCCAACTCCGGACCGGAATCTGGGCTTCAAGCGGGGTGTATGGAATGGATGGATAGATGGAGGGGAATCGTGGTTTTTCGTACCATGGCTGCAAATCTGACTGTTTCTTTTTCTATCGGGCGCGAGAAGCCGCAGGAGCTTTCGGCGCAAGAGGTAGAAGGAAACGAGGCAAAGAAAAAGAATACAAGAGAGGATGGACGGATATCTCTAAATCCAGACGAGCGAGGAAACGTGGGAGAGAAAAAAAGATGATCGGCGGAAAAGGGAGTTTCTGGAGAGAAAGGCCAGCCGAAGGGACCCCGCGGTGTCTAGATTAGGCTGTCATGGATTTTGGGAGGGGGCCCAAAGTGGCAAAGCGCATGGGCCGAGGCGCTGGAATATTCTTTTGTCTTTTTTATTTTATTTCTTGGTACGTACCGTTTCGATAGAGCGGGCAGTATCAACATCACATGCATGAACTATTGGCAAACGAGTGTTTTTCTTCGTGCAGGAGAGCAGGGTCACGTACTCCATAGAGCAGGCATTAACAATGCAAGAGAAGCAAAAGTGAATTCTTCAGCCTGTGGCCGTTATACATACATGTAACCGCTATATCAACACTACTAATGATGTAATATATCGGCCATGATCAAAGCGAAAGAGGCCTCTCCGCCCAAATACCTCAAGTAGACATTCCTAGTCTAAAGAAAAAAAAAAGAGATGCGAAAGTTGTGTGGTTCCGCAGGTTGTGAATAGCAATACCCTGCCTTTGAAATTCCGCCCAAAAACTCCATCCCAATATGCCTCCCATGTTTCCCATGCTCGCTGCAATCTTTGACGCAGAACGAACTCGCAATAACAAGCCGCTTTCCAAATGTACCGCCGTTTACTTCCTTCGTCGTGGTCGATCTACATTCTTCACCTTCCGGTTCTGCATGGCTGCGACCTGGCGAGACTTGCTGTACACCCTGATGACATCGTTCAAGACGATGTAGAGGCACCCGCCCACCAGACTGCGCCCCCATTGTTGCTGCAGCAGGCCAGGACGGCCTGACAGCGATGTCCCAAACAGCCAGTGGTTCCTAGACGGCGCTGTTGTCCAAGATCTAGGGAGAATCATCCGCAAAGCCTCGCCCATGGCAAAGGAGATGCCCGGTAAAAGAAGAGCTCCGACGATGGAGTTTGAAACGTTTGACAGGAGACCACCAAGGCCCATCCTCCTTGCTGGTGGAGCTTGGGGTGCCTCGCGTTGGTTTTCCAGAGGGTGCCCGTTGGCATTATCATCCTGAGCCTGATCCCAGCGCGCATGGCCATTTTGCTCATCGTTAACTGCCCCGTTCAAATCAACCGCATCTTCAATGACCTCTTCAATGAGAAGTTCAACCCTGATCTCATCTCCCTCTTCCCGTTGCTCTAGTCTTATCTCATGCTGAGCCCCTGGTCGCGCCTCGCCGCCACCGTTATTGGCACCGGCGGCGGGATCCTCCTCATCCGGATCCAGCACATCAAGAATGTTTTGGAGAAGGCCAATAAACCCGCCCTCTCCGTTGCGCTCCAGATCCTGCCGATTGTGAACACCATCGGCCTCTTGCTGCGGGTCGAGGGGCGGGAGCCCCGAGATTTGTCGGTTGAGCCTCACTTCGTACGGCATGACAAAGTCTCTCCAGAAGCTAAAGTATACCTTGCGAATGATGGGCAGCGCCACCATGGCCATGCGAGGAGACGGCGGCCACTCCAAAAAGTTGTCATTTCGAATCATACTGTAGATCCCATACTAATGAAGACTCAAATATTAGCAAATATCAAGGGCTTTTGTCACACCCCATGCATGCATTCTTTTGTTTGCTATCTCTCTGTTCCTTTGTTTCCGAAATGCACCGCCAGGAATGTCATCATTAGTGAAATGAACTCACAATAGATGCAGTCTGCATAAAGTATCTGTTAGTAAGACCTGGTAGCAGCTGGCTAATGAGCAGTGTCGGCGCCACATTCATCAGAATCAAGGCGTTGACAATGCGCTCCTTGGCAAACCTCAGGGCTCCAGGCGATCGCCCGTCGATGAGCATATCAGGTCCCAGAGCAAACTGAAGCAGCGCCTCCTTGCCGGCAAACGTCCACAACGCCATGGCGCCGTACATTTGCAGGCTAAACTGAACTCCCACCGACACCCCGGTCAGGAGGATGAAGGGGCTTGCGCGGGTGAATTTGCGCTGTATGGCGTCGTGTAGAGAGGCGATGGGGTCCCACGGGCCGTCCATCTCGATGGCGGACTTGCACACCGGGCACTTGAGCGGCTTATTGGAGCGCTCGCAGTCCGTCACCCATGAGAGCATGCAGTCTTGGTGCGCCTCCAGCGTGCATGGGCACGGGTCAACCCACGAGCCTGGGGGATCCGAGGGCTCCTCGTCCGTCAAGCAGATGAAGCATCGTCGCGGCGCATCCGACGGGCGATCGGCGATGGCGGCCTGAATGGCTGCGGATGATGTGTGAGGCTCGGCCTTGGCCGACAAGTCCATGCTGTCGACGCTCTCCCAAGTTCTTATCGAGGTTGTTGTAGGGTTGTTCGCAATCTAGATTTCGGGTCGTGGCATCTTCTGCGCTGGCTGGAACACGCGGCGGGGATGGCGCTGGACCGGAGGAAAGCGGCTGCGAGACTTGGATGAATAAAAATAAAGGACAAGGCGGCGCAAGTTGGTGATCGAGCAGGCTACGGCGTATGCTATAGAAGCGTGTCGTGGATTTGGTCGTATGAGGAGAGCATCGGTGGTTGTGCAAAAGCCGCTCGAGGCGTGACGAGCTTCTCCAACGTGAGGATTGATGTCAGAGTGGCCCACCTAGCGCAGCCTAGCCCAATCAAAGGTTCCAGGCTTTGTTTAGTGCTCTCGGCCCCATTCCGTGGATATGTAGCGCCTTCAGGGAACGCTGCATTAGCACTCGGCAGATAGAGCACCGACAGTTGAGGCTATTTTATAAGCCGGGGGAACAGAGTAGTTGGGATGTTGATGGATGAATATATGGATTGATATAGAGGTAGGTAGAGAGAGGAGTAGATTCTAGACGAGGACTTAAAAATGTACGAGCGCGGGCAAAATATGTCAGCATCCCTAGCTCTCATGTATGTATAGTCGCTACCCTACACATTCTTGGGATGAGGGTGCGCTGGCCTGCATCAAATCTCCAGCCATGTAGATGCAGTGTATCATACCTTACCCATCCGTCGTCTGTGGATAAATTCCCGCGATGGAGATACTTGGATCTACTCGAAGATCCAGGTCCCTTTGTACATCCCTAGCGTCTTCAACTCCACGAGGTTAGGTAGGAGGATATTACAAAAGAGTATCCGCAGAATTTCAGGGCTCTACAAGGTCATGGTGTTCAACATTCAGCACCAAGTCAGATAAGATAGCAAGAACATGTTTGAAATCAATCTCTGTTGTTTGATTTGATTTGATTTATTTATTCATTTCCCATCGTCTCGTCTACTGTTCCTCCACGCAAATTTCCCAGTCGTCATAAAATCGTGCAGTCTTATCGGCTCATGCGATGGCAGCTCACTGCTCACACGGTGTCGCAGAGGAACGTTGGATCGATCAAAGAGTGTTGCCTGGTTTATTTGTGCTGTGGACAGATCAGTTAGCGACCCATTCAACCACGTCTCCATCCATCTCAGCAGCGTTCAGTTATAACTCACAGGGCAGCCGGCGCAAGTGCAGCCGGAGCCGCAGCCGCAGGAGCCAGATTCAGCACAGCCGCAACCGCCCATGATGTTGGTATTGTGTGGTATGTGGTGGAAAGAAAGGGTGATTGATTGTTTGGTTGGTTAGAACTGATGTTCAAAATTGCTTGTAAGGTGATGACTAGAAAGAAATAGGCTCCAGGAGAATGGGCGGTCAGGTTTATATAGCCACAGGCAGTTGAGTTTGAGCTACGCTAGATGGACAATCTTATTGCCCAGCACAGTGCATCACTTGCCCCTCATCAGCTGCCCACTGGACCCCTCATTCTGGGCGCCTTTTATGCCTCCCTGCGTTACAGCTCACACACAGCCCTGAAGTTACTGCAAAATCAAGACAAAAGCATGTCGAAGGATGTGACGTTGAAAGCCCAGCCAAGAGAGGATCCCAAGCTCAACACCGGGGATTTCTGCCTTATTTTTTTCAACTCTAATTTTCTTTTCTTCTCCTCTTCCCCTCCTCTCGACTCAGCTCCCTCCCTGGTCCAAGAATAGAGGAGATCGGATGGGTCTTGCGAGATACGTGTGGAGATGGAAGATTCGATTTGCCAGTCCAGTGCAGTCCAGTGGGACAAGCTCGCTGTTAGCGCCTAATCCCATCGGAGCATCGCCAACGTGGCCACTCCCTCCTTGCGCCGGACTGTGCGACTTGGGGGCCTGAAAAGCAGCAGGTTTTCAGGTCGCAAACGGCGCCTGGGAGAGTGACGTTTGGTGGGATTTGTGTCGGGTGCGACTTGCGACTCCTGAGGCGAGGCGGACAAGCAAAAGTGCTAACTAACCTACAGTGCACCGCAGATCTCGGCTTGTGTGGCGACGAGGCGAGACTTTCAATGTTCTAGTACACGAACAAGTACTGTACAGATGTGACTTATCTCATCATCGTCATTTGCTCTGAAGCATCCAATCAATCTCTTCCTCTTCTCCCATCGGGACCCAGTTCGGTATTGGCCGGTATCGTCAGTGGCCAGCCAACCGGCGCGTCAGATATCATCGGCGATCGGAATGATCGACAGCCAGCCTTGTCCACTGACAGTTGCAGGTTCCCGGTTCTCGTCGACGTTACACAACATGATACGCATACCTCACCACTCCTCCGCACGATACGCTCTCGTAACAGGTACTCCGCGATGAATGTTGGCGCAATCCTCGCTTCGCTTGCCTCGCTTGTGCCTACCAAGCAAGTACTGGATGCACTAATCAAATTGCCAGGTCTAGCATAACGCTGTCTGGCCGTCATCGTGTTCGCTTCATGTCTCATTATGACGCCCCCAAAAGATGCGTGTACGAGACATGAGTAAACCCATCACATGTCTCGATAAGCTCTTACCAATCTCACAAGGGACGCCTTAATTTAGCATCTCTCGCTCAGCTCAC